GCTCTTGGGGTCGAACTTGTGATCTTGGTCTCTTTCTCTCGCATCACTAGGTTTGAAGAACACCTTCGCTCCAAGTGGTATCACCATGCCTGGGAATTCGCTCTTGTGCAACTTCAACCATGCACTGCTGCCATCGCTCAGCTTCTCGATGTTCAATAAATGGCTTACGCATTCCACTGCAAATGGCCAAAAACATGGTGGTAGTCCGGCTTCAAGTAGGCACGTCGATGTGGTAAGCATCAGGAACTGATTGTTCCTTTCGGCGAGTGAATTGTTATGGGGATGTCCTGGAAGCGACTGGTCTAGTGGAATCCGGAGTTCCTTGAGTGCTGATTCGAATTGTGGCGCATCATCCGAGTAAGCGTTGGTGACCTTTCTCTTACCGATATAGTGCTTCATTGCCTGCACCACTTCGTCACTACTGCTTGCTTTCAATGGATAACCCCATATCACACCAGTGAACCGATCTCGAATCACCAATATGTCCTTATCCGGCATGATCCCATCTCTCGCCATCTTCTGAGTGTTCATGAGATCGAAAGTGATAAGGTCACCGAATGCCTTCAATTTCCGTTTGAAAGCTCCCTTGCTAGTCTTGTAGTGCTTCATCTTTGCTCTCACACATGACTTGCAGTATGGGTTCTTGTATCGGTGCGTCATCAAGTGCAATATGGATTTCGCCTCGTTCTTCAGCACTCCTGGTTTTGATAGTCTGGTTTCCCCGTCAACCACATCGACTTCCAATAGTCCCTCTTCATCTTCATCAATGTCACTCTCCCCTCGTTCAGAATCCGCATCACCTCCATGTTCGTCGCCTCCGGCTTCTTCAGGTTGACCTTCGTGATCACGATCGAATCTCGGGTCTTCCCCGTCATATTCCTCTTCAGGAGAATACCTGTCATCACCGTGTTCCTCTGGTTCTCCTTCGACGCCTGCAACAGCTGGATTGATATCAGATTCACCATCCTGACCTTTCTGGTTATCTTTCTTCTTTCTCCTCCGTCTCCGTGGTTTCTTGAGCGGAAGTTCCTCTTGTTGTGTCTCCTGACCTGTTGTGACCTCGTCTTCATGCCCCACACCTGACAGTATGCGATGAAGTATCGTAGCCAAGCCGTCTGGTCTTGGTAAACATCTCCCGTCATCATCATTCACCTTGATGTAGGGTATGTTGTCATGCACCGATAGCGGAATCTTGTTCGCGTTCTGGTCGATGAGGTATGGTAATTGATTTGCCGGCCATATGAATGAGTACCCTTGTTCCATGCACCGTTTCCCGATGGAAAAGACTGATGGTGTGCTTTCCAACACGTGTGCCTCGGACCTCATGGGTAGTTCGTCCACATTGATGTCCACCATCTCTGATGTACTAGTTACACCATTCGCTGTCATGAAGCTCACGGATTTGGGTCCTTCCTTGGTGGTAAGGCCCATGGCATTGACCTTCTCTCTTGAGATCAAATCGTGTCCACATCCCGTGTCCATGATGAAGCGTATTGGTGGTCCATCATACTTCTCCACAGCCATGAACATCGTGGTTCCTGGTATCGTGTAGTCGACAAAATCCTTCCTTACTACCTCTCTGGTGTTGAAATCAGACAGGTCGACGTTCACCTCGATTCCTTCTTCTTGAGTGATTTGTATCCATGCCTTGGCAATGTGTTCAGCATAGAATAGCTCCATCATCTTACCTTTGGCATGTGCTACTCGTGCAGCTATGTTGCTCACTCTGAGGGCACTCAACGACGAAATGAGCTCGGTATCCACCTTCTGCACCTCATTCCTCTTCTTCCTGAGGGGACGGTTGTTTAGCTCATTACCAGGATCGCAGGTGAACGTGGTCACATTCGCCTGGTCATCGAATCTGACTTTAAAGCGAAGCGCCAGCTTACCTTGTTGTACGTTGGGAAGTGCAGGTTGTACGTCCTCGTCATCACTCTCGATGTCTCCGCAAAGCATGAAGGCTGGCGCAGCCGGTTTGGGTTTGGCTTTGCCTCTAGCCTCTTGTTTTGTAGCAGGAGCAGCGTGATGCTGACGTCGACATTTGTCCCCGAACTTGCACGATCCTTTCTGCCAATTCCAACAGACCTGATCCTTCATTGGCTTAGGGCTACTGCTCCTGCCACCGGGACTCTTTGATCTGTCACCCTTGAGGTTTTCTGGTTTCTTAGCAGAACTCTTGTGCTTCTCTTGGTGACTAAACTTGCATTTGTCTCCTCTAGAACATCCGTTTTTCCCATGGAAGTGGAAAGCGCATCCTATCTTGGACGTATCTGCTGGAGTCGCTGACCTGCCACGATCCCCTTTTGGGCTCTTCGTGGCTGATCTTCCACGATCCTGCTTCTTGTCCTTCTTGTTGTGGTCCTTCGGATTAGCCTGAGGAAGTACTGGAGCGGCGTCATGTTTCGGTGGATCGGTCTTGGTATTCTTGGGTTTCGCTTTAGGGTCCTTCTTCTCCGCCGCTGGTGTGGCTTTCACGATGTTCCCAAAAGCTTTTTCCCTCTCTTTCTTGTTTGTGGTCTCAATTGATTTCCGTATCCACTTCGTCATGATCTCCCGTAACTTCTGGTAGGTCTTATCCGGATCCTTATCCAACATGTTGTCGTACACAGACAAGTCTAACGCCATAACTTTGGAATCCTTAATCTTATCCCAAAGCAGGTTGCGAAGTGCTTTGTCAGGAAGCATGTCATCCGCATCCATACCTGATATGATCTCATCCCACTGTCCAAGGAATCTGGATAGTTGATTATCCCCAGGGAACTTTAGATCGAATAAGTGCTTGGATGCATACATCACATCAGCGTTGTCGGCACTCCGGAAACTATCGACGATCAGCGCTAACATTTCTCGTCCCTTGACCATTCCAGGGGTTGTGCCTCTCGCACGTCTCTGCATCATCTGCCTCACCTTCAGTTGTACGTCATGAGATCTCTCACCTGCTGCGTGGATGACCGTATGTAGGGTGATACCTAGCTTAGCGTCTATGCTAGCGAATCTTGCTTCGCCTGATGTCTCGAGTAGAAATGGGTCATATGGTGACTTGAAGGCATCCGAGAGCCATTGGATCCAATCTTCTTGTTTCTCGTCGCCCGATGCCGTCACGACTGCCGCTACAACCTGGGATTTCCAAACCTCCAGGTCGTGTATCTTGGGCCATGCAGGGATGTTGATCTTCTCGTGTTCCTTCCGAGATATCTTGGAGCCGCCTGAGCCAGAGGATGAAGCGGCACCATGTTCGGTTGCGGCTGCATTCTCTGCACTTGTGCGCTCCTCTTCGTACCTCTTCCGGTACTTATTCCTTTCATCTCTGAGCCGTGACGCATGCGCTTCGAATTCCATCATGTCCTGTTGGTTCTGCATCATACCTTCGTAGTACTCAATTGCCTCTTTCTCCTCGGACCTTAATAACTTTTCAGTACGTTCAAGTTCCGCTCTAAGCTTGGTCATCATCTCATTCTCCACACTGGGTTCTGATCCCATGTCTGGTGGTTTCAACTTCAGTGCGACCTTCAATTGTGCTTCACTTGCGCTTGATTCGATCAATTCTTCCTGAAGACGTTTCAGCATCCTTTCTTTACGTAGAATGTCCTCTTCCAACATGTTCACCTTGACTTCGGCCTTCTTGAGTTCGGCGCTGGATGGTTGAAACGGTCGATCGGATCCTTGAATCCTCGTCTGAGTCAACTCCTCGTTCGCCTTCTTCAATTGCTCTCTGATGCTCAAGATGAATTTGTCCTGAGTATTAGATCGGTTGTTGAGCTCCTCATTCTCTTCTGATAACCATTTGATCTTGCTTGCATACATTGCTTCCCTCATCTTCATCTCCTCAGCATATTCGTGTTTGTTTCTGGCACTCTGCCTTTGTAGTCCAACTAACTCCTGTCTACACAGATCCTTGACGTTCTCAGCATCTGCGATTGTAGTCATGACCTCGGTTACGGCTCGATCTCTTTCTGCCGATATAGCCTGGATCTCTTCCGTGCCGATGTTCACAACTTGACTAACCATCTCTGCGCTGTTGCGATCAGCGTACTCCCCTAACTGGGTGAGACGATCCCGCATTGCCACACGATCAGTGTCCATCTGGTATTGCAGGTCGTGTGCTGCTGAGAGCAAACAGTCTCCGGATTCTGTAAGTTGGGTGATTCTTCGTTGATTTCCATATCCTTCGACATAACATTCTTCGAGGTGTGCCATCACTACTTCGTGGACTTCGGTCTCGTGTTGTATAATCTGGTTCTGTCTCTGCTCACATTCGACCATCCATGCGTTTTGGTGGTTCAACATATGCACTTCGGCAAGTAGTTGCGCACACTTCGCATTCAGGTCTCCATCGGCCCGTGCTAGTTGTAGGTTGTCAGTGCTTGCCCTTGCTCGATCTCCAGCTTCGCTGTCCGACGGCACTGGTACAGCTGACCCATCCTGCAATGCTAACACTCTCACAGCTCCGGTGTCAGTCCTCCTCCTTGTCTCCCTAGGGCTACGGCCTGATCTCGGTGTCCCCCACGGTGGTGTCGAGTGCGCTGACGGGGAACGACTTCGTGCTCTACCCGTCGCATCTTCTCTCACCGCTGTCAGAGTCTCCGCTTCGATCGTACCTGGACTAGAGTTGTGGGATGCACTCATCCGATCTGCGGCCGCAGCAGCTGCTCCAAAAGATGCAGTGCTGGCGTCGGATTGGTCCATCTTCAGTGACTGAGGGTAACTGGTCTACCCGATGCGTGTGCGCTCAGATGGTGTTGTGTAAGGCCGCAGCTCGCACCCAGCTCAAAGGAGTCTGGATACGGCTGATAACCTGCGAACGGATGGAAAGGTGTGCCCTGGCCCCGTTCTAGCTCTTAGGTCAACATGAAGCTCGCGCGCTAAAGCTCCTTTTTACCTGGTTGGGCACTTGAGCCAAAAGTGTATGGCATGTACCTGTATAGCGACTATACTGGGACCCCATCCCTATTGACAGCTACCAACTTACATCCTGATGGCTCTTGACGTGGCAGCTATGCCTCGGTGATCTCTGCTGGTCTTCTCGCAGCGTAGCAACTCAAGGATCGTCTCCTCCACTGCCGCTCGAAGCTTGTTGAACTTGCTCACCCGTTCCTATGGCAGGACCCAAATCAGCCAATATATCCATAATGATTGTCCAAATAAGTGGAAAGTCATTAGAGCAAGTACACTACAGCTTTACGGCAAGTATGACGGGCACTTGGATTGATCCGTGCTGACTGCAACAAATCAGGCGGCCCCTTAAGGGGATTCCATTCATTAGGATCTGGGGATCTCTGAGGGTATGATGAGTCCTCCTGCCGCAGCGCGATACCCCTTTCTGTGTCACATGTCTGAAACATATTGCCGCATGTTGACGCTTGTGTTGCAGTTTGTTGCCTCATCAAGCTTTTTGGATGGAAGAACGCACACAAAACTACCTGCCAATCTTGGAAGCGATCAAACACAGCAGGTCACACTGCTTGTTGGCTCCTGCTGGTCCAGGTTGGGCTCCTGCAGTGCATGGTTCCAACATGTCCCAACCCTGGCAAGCAACGCTCGACAAATGAAGTCATGCAGGAGCCAAAAGCATGCTGTGTTCTGAGCCAGGTTTCATGAGCTTTTGCTTTTACAGCTATATATAATATATATATACAGTATATATAAAGAGCATCTGGAGCAGTTTGCCTCCACATGTGGAACGCTTGCCTCCACAAGGCGCACCGAGAGTTTCTCGCCATCCAACTGAAAAGCATGTGGCCGATGGGCCAGGAAGTATTTCAGCTTATCCTGCCACTCCTTCAAGAGAGGCAAAGGGGACTCGGCACCCATGTCATGTCCATAATCTAGAATCTAATCTAGGTGAAAGGTTTTGTACAAATTGCAATTTACAAATGGTTCTGTTCTGCCCAGTTGCCCGCTTCTTCCCAGGTACATTTTTGCCGGAGGGTCGCACTCCAGTTTGGCAAATCGATTTCCAAAGCTCCCGCACCTTGGAAAGGACACCTAGCGAAGAACATCGCACAGGACATCCATACATCTTCACACGGAGAATCTTCAGACCAAAGGTTGGGCATGGTTGGGCATGCAGAGCTTCTGGAACTCATGCAGCTCTGGTGCCCGTGGGTCGGTTCCAAGCAGGGCTACCGCCAGGCTTTGGCTGGCGGAGCCTCGAAGGGCACAACACACCGCCTCCTCCAAGGCCATTGGACGCACGAGGGCTTCGCCTACACTGCAAAAGTGAGTTCAAGCCAATACTGCACAATAGACACAACAAAAAAAACACACCAATAGGACCTCAATAGGACCAACACCACCAAAGCAACCGGTATAACACAAACTTGTTTAGCAACCGGGCATTTCATGTCACGATCGCCGACGCCCCTGACGCCGCTGCCGCCTGACTCTTCAACGGTCGGCCGGTTTATTTCAGGCCACGCTGCTGGCAAACCAGCATAACCGACCTCGTGGCATCATTTTCTGTGGGTGCTGCAATCTCGATCTCCTTTTCTGCTGCTAAACGAAGCTCTCGGACATCTTGACCAAGTTGGTTTATCTGCTTGCCAGTGAGAAAAACCTCTGCTTGCACTGAGGCTGCGTGAATGGAGAGATTTGGCCATTGATTTCGGAGCTGCATCATAGCGCCTAGGCCTCAGACAAGGTGCTAGCACTGCTTGAAGTCCAAACAAAAACCACGTAGCACGCGACACATGCACATAATTACAATTTTTGATATACTATAATATGCTATGCACACATGCACGGCTGCATGCATGTGTGTGTGTGTGCGCGTGTGTGTGAATGCCTGTGCACTCCGAACAGGCAATTAGATGAGTATAGGCAGTATAGGCAAATGGATTAGTTTTAAAGTGTTAGATGATGCGCGAGAGAGAGAGAGAGACTGGAGACTATGCAAATTCAAATGCTTGCACTTCCATTTTCAATCCACCCTGGCTTGTAGCAAAGGCTTTCATAACTTAAATGTCACGTGTGCATAAAGAAGTCTATAAAAGTCATGCCATACCATCCGTAGTTTCTGGCGTGTTGTTGCAAGGCACCTGCTTAGACCTTTCATTCTGGAAGGCGGTTGGTTTCAGCTGTCTCTCAGCCACAGTGAGTTCGTTGAGTCTGCCAGCATCTATGACCATGGAGACAACATAAGGGTTGTCAGAAGCAGAATCAAAGCGATTGAACAAAATCGTGACCCTCTGCCAAAGTGTTTTCTATGTATGCATGTCTCTCTATCATGTAAATCAGTCCAGAGTGCCGTCTAGCCTATGCATTCTCTTCGGCTGACCAGCTCAGTGGTGTGTGAATAGGGCATGGGCATTTCCTGTGTCCTCCGAGTCACAAGACAGAGATGGAGGCCTCTCTGTGAAGATGGTGACGTCACCAAAGACATCTCCTTCTACATCCCTTTCCAACAGGTCTCGCGCCAGCCTGCCCACACATGGAAAACAAGCGATGAAAGCAACCTGGCAAAGCTACCTTGCCTGTCATGGTGAGCGGCCTGCTTAGTCCAAACAACTAAGGGGGGTTTAAGTACTGCCAGGTGTCTACGGGAAGCTTCGAAATGCCGGGCATAATTTGCTCTGACTGCCACTGCGCAGCCTCGAAAGGACCTTGAACTCCGCATTTTCACGAGCAAAGTCGAAAGCCTAGGAGAGCCATCAGTGGCACAAGAATGCTGCGGCCTTTTTGTACTGTAGGATACTGTAGGTCTTCTCAACAAAACCACCCCGAGCAATGGAGATTGATCCGCAACCAGGAAGCATGCACGGCCTGACCCACCTGTCACTTAAAGTTCCTGGCTTGCATGTGCCGAGACACCAGCAGCTTGCCTCTTTCCAGCTCCTTCTGAGGCTTCTTAGTGCCAGCTTTGCCTGTGAATGTCAGGCCTACTGTACTTTATCAATCTTTATCAGTGCTGCTCACGATCTTGGACTGTTTTGAATGGTGATGGGAGGGGTGTTGGAGAGACTCTGGATCCCGCACCAGCAAAGGTTCACAACTTTTGAGAAGCACCTTCAGCTGGTAATTAATTCAGCATGTGCAAGCGCCTGCAGGCTCCTCCTCCTCTGCTTCCTCTTCCTCATCCTCCTCCTCGCCCTCCTCACCCGGACCCAGCTTCTCCAACGCGTGGGACGACGAGGCATTGCTTTTCGCTTTAGCCTCTGCCTCTTTCGCCACAGCAAAATGCTGGAAGACTACCTCGGCACGCTGCCACTCAGAGTTGTTAGGTAAGAACTGCTCGTCTAAACTGCTCGGCCTTGTATGAGGATTTAGCCAGTGGAGTCTCAGGCTCCAATAGTGAGAAGACATAATCTCATTCTCATATACGTACAAGATATAATTTTATATATATATATATAAACACACCTCATATGTGGATATATGTGGTTTAAGGAATCTTTAGACATTCAACCTAGATAAGACTAAGTCTGCGAGTGAAGCCAGCGTATATAATCAGCTACAAGTGCAGCTTGTCGGCTGTTTGCTCACAGCCAGTAGAATGGCCCCCAAACCTGCAGCTTCCAGAGGCAGGGACCGACTAATGTGACGGATGGGGGGGGTAGAGGACGCCTAGGAACAAAGGGCATCGCTACTAGGAGCAAGGACGCTACTAGGGGCTCCTGGCCCTACTACTAGGAACAAGAAGCTATTATAAATTATAAGTAAATAGTAGTAATAGTAGTAGTAGTAGCAGTAGTAGTAGTAGTAAAGCTACTACTTAAACCATGGCCACGGATGGCCAGTCTCATGACCTCACAAACAGCGGCAACAGTTCTGGCCGAAGTACGAAGTGACATCCGAGACCATAATACAAAAACAGAATCCATGAGGCGCTGTATTCTCAGTGAGCCTGATTGCTTTTCTTGTGACAATGGTCTGCAACCCAAGCTTGCATCAAACACGGAGTTCAAATGAACCTGTGATATCTCACGGAATTTGTATTGTTACCAAACCATACCAAACCCAATCTTGGTCTTGTTGTTGTTCTGCGATCTCGTTCCCGACCAAACCTGAAGCTCCACAGCCGAACGAAAGAAAGCCAGACGCAATGCTCATCGAAACGCTCCGTTTCCGCGCCGGACCTGAGGCGCGCTTCCAAGGCCGCTGGCTCTTCACGTCGCCGCTCCCAAACAGGCTCCTGAATCGGGAACGGCTTCACATCGGCGTTGCTGGGGGTTTCAGGGGAAAGGTTCGAAAGGCACAGCAAGACTCATGTGCCATTTCTCTCCCTTGGATTTGTCAACTGCCCGCAGCCGGCCTGCAGCTCTGATGGGGCATCTGCCACCTCACATGAAAATGATTGAAAATGGGTCACCAAGCCATGTTTTTGGTATCTCCATGTCGTCGCACCACTAACAATGCTGTTTGGTGTGTCCACATCGTGTCAGTCCACGTATTCTTTCTTGAAAGGTCACACCCGAGGCCAAAAATGCTAGAGCTGCTGACTTCGGTACACTTCACCTATGGGTACTTGACTCATGTTTGTTTGTTGGCTCTTACAGAACTCAGGCGGCCACAAACTTGAGCCCATGCAAAGCCAAACAAATGGTGAAGCGAGGCCCAAGGCAATCCACCACCTGTAGTTGTGCCTTGTACCGAGCAACCGCCTTAGAAGCTGCAAGGATTGGCTGAAGTGCCACACAAGGATTGGCTGAAGTGCCACACCGGGGATGGGGACGTAATCGATTTGATTCAAGTGAAAAAATGTTAAATTCAATGTGTGATAGCGCTGCCTTTACACTTCAGGTGAGACAATTCCAATCTATATACAGTAATGACATCTAGTTTTCCAAAAACCTTTACAATGTCTTTCACTCATGTCCGTCTTTCCCCTACAATTCTGGTACTTTTTGCATGATTGCTCTACTAGCATGGTTTGACATGTCAACATGTGCTCATTTCAGCATGCAGCATGCCCTTCAAGTTGTCCTTTTTGTCCGAAGAGGTTTGAACCTTTCAAGTATCACAATTTCCAAAATAAATCGTATGTCCTTCATAGACAAGCCCAAGAATGGTCCCTTTCACACAGGAAAGCATCCAAGTCAGCGTGCACTTGTCGAAACGTTATATGATGTGGATATATTATGTATGTATATGGATGTATGTATACTCTATATCTGTCTCCTATAGAAACCTAATTCCAAACTACAAACTCTATCGAGGATCATGCCCAAGTCATTCGCCGATAACTGCGCTAGTGGGAACGAACATACGGGAACCACTAACAATCAATCTAGCACAAATTGGCATGTCATGCGACACTTTCTCGCAGCAGCATTCTTCTGGTGTCGTCCTCCTGGATTGGGTCCAGAAAAAATCCAACATGTGGGAAGAAGCAAGCTGCCTGCTGACATGCAAAGGAGGATTTCATACTTGATGATCACGTGTAATTAAGGCCTCTTCAAGACCAGAATCGGATCTTCTTCCGTACCCTCTTGTCGGGTTTGATATTGTCTCGTGGTGCTACGAGTGCACTGTCATCCTGTCCTCCAGTTCTGCAAATGCGAGTGCCCTGGAGAGAAGGTTCGTCTCTTGACCAAAATCCTGCAAAGGGACGCACGTGAAAAGGAGTCAAAGCAAGTGTCCATCTCTTCGTGACCATCAGAAAGTTTATTATGACTTGAAAGTGACCATAATAAGAATGCTTGCTTGACTTGAAGGTGAGCTGTACCTGTATACTTCTAGCAGGCCTTGGCTCGTGGGCTCAACCAAGAGTCTTGAATCGAACCAAACTGCTGAGTTCACTTCTGCCACGTCCCACGCCGGCCGCGTCCTCCAAGAAACCCCCTAACCAATAGACAAAGGGCTCTGCGATCTGCTCCACTGTCCAGTCCTTCGGACCTGTCACGCCGGTCCGTCGCCGGTCCGCGGCCGCTTTGGTGCCTCTCATTTTGTGGTGCCAGGTGAGAGGTTGAGGGAAGCTATGGCTATGGCATATATGGGGTGCCAACCCCACAAAAACATGACAAACCCACAACGGTCCTCGCCTTCTGCGAAGCTCATTGGCTCTGCGGAATTCACCAACCTCACCCATTGAGGCCTGAGAATCGATCAGGAAACTGTCCGTTCTTACAACTTGCCTACATGTGAACCAAATGAAGGAAACCGAGCAAAAATGGATGGAGTGAGTCTGAACGCATCGTTGAACCATGGAATCATGGTGAATCCAATGACTGCAAAACTGGGTCTGTGCCAAGGTGTGCGTGTGTGTGTGTGTGTGTGTCAACCCCCGTATCCAGGGGCACTGGATTTTCATTGTGCAGTTTCCACGCAGGGGGCATGGCAGCTGTTTCCCTAGCCATGCCAACGAAGCTATGGGATTCAGCCGGAAGGGAATGTGGACGCACATTCCTGTACCTGCGACCGAAACTGTTTTCCACGCTGTGACTCTACTTCTCCACTTTTTGCTTCATGGTTCTTCACGCTACCACCCCCAAAACTTTGGTTTCTGCAGCTGCGCCGCGCCGCTCGTTTCGCGACCGCTGAGTTTTGCAGACATGAGAAACAACCTTTGTTCAAACACCTACAATTTCTTGGACCTTTCGCCATGCGGTTCTCTCACCTTCCTTCCACCTGGGAATTGAATTAACTGAAAACCAATGTCAGAGTGTGAACCGCTCAGCCGTCCCACTTGGGTGCTGGGTGTGATCCCCGTCACAGGGGCGCCGAATCCATACTGGAAATCGTGTAACGGAATCATCGTCTTTCATCGTGAATTCTCTTAACAGTTTTAGTCTCACCACTGAATTGCCAGACTCCATAGCCGCCGGGCTTTCACGGATACTCCTTTCTCCGGACCTTGCATCAACTTGTTTGCAACAACTTGTGATTAGGTTCAGTAAAGCAGCTAGTGCACAGGGACTGCAGACTTGCGCCAATCAAGTGTTCAAACACCTTCAAGTCTTCCGACCTTTCGCCTTCCGGTTCGCTCTTTCTTTTCCTCGGAATTTTTGCACGCGGAAATTCAAGAGTGCAGGGGTCTCACTCCCTAAGCCGTTCATTCGGCACTTTTGCTCGACAGATGTGCACGGAGCTACACCTATCTTTCTCTCTTGCCCTCTTCTGTTTGCTCTTTCTGTCTTTCGTTCTTCTCTTTTCTCAGGCTTTTTGGGTTGCTATTCAGGTCTTTTGACACCGTCGCCTGCCGCTTACTGCGCTGAGCTGCCGCGCTGCCGAGCCGCTGCGCGCTTACACGACCTCCCCACCAACCACCACAGCCAACACAGCAGCATCATCCTCCCAGCGCCATGAAACTCTTCCTCTATTTCCCAACCGCTCAATTTACCAACGGCCGCGCAACCGACCGCCCTTCCTTTGAACCGGGGACATGTCAGTCTGACCGCTGTTACTCCGGTTCGATGGGGCAACAAAGAACAATGGCCTACAACCTTTCCCCTTCCATACACCAAGCTCTACACCCTACATGCCTGGGCCTTTCGCTGATTGATTTTCACACATCATCGCCGACCACCAACTTCTCCAGCCACACACCGCAAACAAATCTCCCTCCTCGCCTCTCGCATCTTCACTCTCCTGTCTCCCCTCTCCTTGCCGACTTCCTTCGAATCGGGGACATGGCAGTCTGACCACCTTTACTCCGGTTCGATGTAATCAAATCCAACCAAAACAGCAGCCGTGCCACTGCATCCACCATACCGCTCCGCAGCCATCAATTACACAGCTCCTTCTCCACGCCCCAGACTGTGGCGCAATATGAGACACTTTCCACAAACACAGAAAACGCCAAGCAAGCAAGCAAGCAAGCCAGCCAGCCAGCCAGCCAGCAAGCAAGCAAGCAAGCAAGCAGCAAGCAAGCAGCAAGCAAAGCAAGCAAGCAAGCAAGCAAGCAAGCAAGCAAGCAAGCAAGCAAGCAAGCAAGCAAGCAAGCAAGCAATCTATTCATTGACGTTTACAGACGTCAGGTCCTACTTCTGGCAACATCACCAGCTCCACTGCAATTGGCAACCTACACCACCACCACCACCACGACCACCACCACAACCACTACCTGCTTTGCTACCTCATCCACCACAAGCTCCAGCCATGTCACCGCCACGCCCTTTCAACATGCACTCCCACAAACCTACACGCTTCCCCACTTCACCCACTTCCCGCACTGCAAGCGAGTAGCCAAGCAAGCAAGAAAGCAAGCCAGCCAGCAAGCAAGCAAGCTATTGACCGCCAAGCCTCTCTCCAGAAGCGCCGACTCACGGCATACTGTGTGTGTGTCAACCCCCGTATCCAGGGACTGAATGTTCATTGTGCAGTTTCCACGTAGGGGCGAGCCGCCGGGCTCATACGGCAATCCTTTGATTAGGTTCAGTAAAGCGGCTAATGCACAGGGACGGCAGACTTGCGCCAAACAAGTGTTCAAACACCTTCAAGTCTTCCGACCTTTCGCCTTTCGGTTCGCTCTTTCTGTTCCTCGGAATTTTTCGCGCGCGGAAATTCAAGAGTGCAGGGGTCTCACTCCCTAAGCCGTTCATTCGGCACTTTTGCTCGACAGATTGCAAGGTTGCTATTCAGGTCTTTTGACACCGTCGCCTGCCGTTTACCTGCGCTGAGCTGCCGTGCTGCCGAGTCGCTGCGCGCTTACACGACCTCCCCACCAACCACCACAGCCAACACAGCAGCATCATCCTCCCAGCGCCATGAAACTCTTCCTCTATTTCCCAACCGCTCAATTCACCAACGGCCGCGCAACCGACCGCCCTTCCTTCGAACCGGGGACATGTCAGTCTGACCGCTGTTACTCCGGTTCGATGGGGCAACAAAGAACAATGGCCTACAACCTTTCCCCTTCCATACACCAGGCTCTACACCCTACGTGCCTGGGCCTTTCGCTGATTGATTTTCACACATCATCGCCGACCACCAACTTCTCCAGCCACACACCGTAAACAGATCTCCCTCCTCGCCTCTCGCATCTTCACTCTCCTCTCTCCCCTCTTGACAACAAGCAGCCGACTTCCTTCGAATCGGGGACATGTCAGTCTGACCACGGTTACTCCGGTTCGATGTAATCAAATCCCACCAAACCAGCAGCCTTGCTACTGCATCCACCACACCGCTCCACAGCCATCAATTACACAGCTCCTTCTCCACACCCCAGACTACTTTCCACAAACACAGAAAACGCCAAGCAAGCAAGCAAGCAAGCGAGCGAGCGAGCGAGCGAGCGAGCGAGCGAGCGAGCGAGCGAGCGAGCGAGCGAGCAAGCAAGCAAGCAAGCAAGCAAGCAAGCAAGCAAGCAAGCAAGCAGCAAGCAAGCAAGCAAGCAAGCAAGCAAGCAATCTATTATTTCATTGACGTTTACAGACGTCAGGTCCTATTTCTGGCAACATCACCAGCTCCACTGCAATTGGCAACTTACACCACCACCACCACCACCACAACCACTACCTGCTTTACTACCTCATCCACCACAAGCTCCAGCCATGTCACCGCCACGCCCATTCAACATGCATTCCCACAAGCCTACATGCCTCCCCAGTTCACCCACTTCCCGCACTGCAAGCCGGTAGCCAAGCAAGCAAGAAAGCAAGCCAGCCAGCCAGCAAGCAAGCCATTGACCGCCAAGCCTCTCTCCAGAAGCGCCGACTCACGGCATACTGTGTGTGTCAACCCCCGTATCCAGGGGCACTGAATTTTCATTGCGCAGTTTCCACGCAGGGGGCATGGCAGCTGTTTCCCTAGCCATGCCAACGAAGCTATGGGATTCAGCCGGAAGGGAATGTGGACGCACATTCCTGTACCTGCGACCGAAACTGTTTTCCACGCTGTGACTCTACTTCTCCACTTTTTGCTTCATGGTTCTTCACGCTACCACCCCCAAAACTTTGGTTTCTGCAGCTGCGCCGCGCCGCTCGTTTCGCGACCGCTGAGTTCTGCAGACATGAGAAACAACCTTTGTTCAAACACCTACAATTTCTTGGACCTTTCGCCATGCGGTTCTCTCACCTTCCTTCCACCTGGGAATTGAGTTAACTGAAAACCAATGTCAGAGTGTGTGTGTGTGTGTGTCTGTCTGTCTGTGTCTCTGTGTCTGCCAGGTTGGGAAACAAAAACACCACAATTCGACAACATATTCGAGCCGCAGTGATAACTCCACCGTCTCGACACCGTCTTTCTGACTTGCCTGTGGCAGCGAGCCCCTTCGGTTGAGTTGCTGTTCATACACATTGGGGCATAAGTATAATCTGTCAAACTGGTCAAACATGAAAGTTCGGATGTACGGCGCCTTCTGAGTTGGAAAAGAAATGTCGACCTCTCGAAACCTCTCAGTGGCGGCAATCAGCCTTGGCCAGGTCAAAAGAGACCCTCCATGCAGGTTCAAGTTCAAGGGAAAACTTGGTATTCGCAGTGTGTAGCGTAGCTTACTTCAAAAATCTTCAACACTGCAGTGCCAACTCACGGCAACTGTGGTGTTCACGCACTGCCTAGCCTGCATTCGCTGGAAATGACAATTTGTTGAACCAAATATCGAGTGAAGATCTACTCTGGGACAAATGAAAGTGTGAACAGGCAAAACTGGCAAGGCATGTCAAAATGGACAACTTCGTACTGGTGAAAGGCCAAGGCGCAAATCAGTCGGTTTGGGTTGCAAGAGCTGCAAGCGTGCCAAGGTTGAGGTAAGCCTGAGAAACGCTCCCTGCACATAGGCTGATCTTTGAAGCAACAAGCAACATCCTGGTCAATACATGTCAACTGTATAGCCGTTTTGGGCCACATTCTCAATAATAAAGTAATGTATTTCTCTTGCACTCTGGAAGATTGGTGGAAACTGCCGCAAAGTCAAGCAGTTGTCACATGTTGCAGGTCTAGTCCAACAAATAAGCTATGGGCTATGGCCAACACCATTGTCGATTCCCTACTTCACCTGGCTTTAAACAAATCAAACATCTACATCGGCGGGACGGGCACTTACTCACCTCACAGCATTACCAAGTATGCACCGACTGTTGACATGATTTCAACTAAGTGGAGCGTGATTGCATGGCCTCAGTGGTCCACAAGGCATCATACTCAAGTGGCATCAACTTGCATAAGTCTGTTGCTGTTTGGGTATGACATTGGATCATCGAATCCCGTTAGTTCATGCAAGCTGCCAAATCCCAGGGATGGTGACGGGGTAAGGACATTGCAACCGGGTAGCAGTGGCAGGGGGAACTCGTTCAAACGGCTCTCCACCTCATGTTGCTTTCTTAAATCAGCACTGGCAACCAGCAACCGTAACCTCTACACCCATCTTCCTATGCAACTGTTTCAGCAACGCGTCCGGTATTGTCCTGTGCCCCGTTCCAAAGTTGGTCAATCATGCAAGTCGCAATGGAGGCCAACTGGACTTCAATTTTCAGCGCCTAGAAGCAAAGCCTGAAGCAAAACATGACTTGCCAAGTCACTATCTGCAAGAACCACATGTGCTCTGGTGCATTCGTCCTGTCTACGTCGGTCCGTTGTGGAATATTTGCGTGCTTACGTTTCCGTAGTTCAATCAAATCACGAGTGAATATGGACCATTCAACAAGCAAACCCAGGTGTTCACAGCGCTCGAAAGCGGACTGCCTCCAATCAACCAAGGGCGTCAAGTTCCGCAATTTCAAGTCGCGCATAACATCGCGATTAAAGTATGTTTTGTCGCCTGAGGCCCACCAAGGAAAGTGCATCAAGCAGCATCTGGAGTTGTGGTGGGCGCAACTCTCGATGACGGCATTCCTGCACTAAGGACATCAATTTGTGGGCTTCTGGGGTACTTTCCTTTTTCCTCTCGGGGCGCTAGTGGTACAAGTGTCGTAGAAGCCAGGATGATGGCTGGTATGCTACTAGCAAACGCTACTAAAGTGAAAGCTCCTCAGAGCTCCCGCTGTAAGGACCCTCGCTGAAAACAACTGCTGGAATCCCCGTTGCAATTGACCTGGTGGGGTCAGGGCAGCCATTTTGTCGTTTGTTTGATTCATTACCAAGGGCTCAAGATTGGAAGGATCTGCGCGATACAAAATGCAAGTGCATCACCACTGCGCTCGAGACGGAGAAGAAACAACAAATTTTAGATTGTGGCTGTCCATGGCCATCAATCTTGGTAACATCAGTGTTCATGTGTCTTGCCCGATTGTTTTTCCAGTTTTGTTTCCGAGTGTTTATTGCACTCAACTCCTGGGAGACATGTCAACTCCGCAACCTTCATATTCATATCATATGGCATATGACAAAATGGACCCAAAAAATGCAGCAACAACAACAACATTCGAATGACCTTTACCAACGTCCATGTCGAATATTGGCTCTACTAAATGGTTTTGCAAAAGGCAAGTGCTTGAGGTCACTAAATTGCCGAGCACTTGAACATGCAAAGCAGGAATGTTGCCGGTGCCGAAAATGAACCACTGATGTTGCACAGGACTGGGCTGGTTTCAGCAATGAAACGCACCTCCTCCTGAAGAAACTGCAGCGCGGAGGTCATCATGCGCCGATGCAGTGATCTACAAGCTGTCAGGGAGTTTATCAAGGCCACCACCTGAATTGCAATTGGCCAAACGAATAGCCACACCACGTCAACCAATCTCCGTGCAATACGAGCTCAGTGAAACTTTTATGATGGCCTATGCTTTAGCTAGGGGTCCACGTCACTAAACTATATCTCTGGAGTATATCGTTTCCTATTTTTCTGCATACCCTCCACCTTAATTTTCAATAACATTACCTAGATGCAGCGAGCTCTGTGATCGTCGTTGATTTGATTTCTTATATATACATGTGTTTCTGGTATCTACATGACATTGACTTGACATGATTTTGGATGGGGCCCAACTTCTCCAAAACTGAGGGTCAGCATGGGTCAGCCTACAGGTGATTTGTTCATATCTGTTCAAGCAAGCTAGGTGATCATGGCTGCTCCTCGTCTCACTCACTTCAACCTTTCCAGCAGCAAAGCCTACTTCCTTTCCCAACCCCAACCCACAGGGCTTCGGTTGAGGATCATGAGGTATCATCAATGGCCTACAACACAAAAACCATCAAAAACCCATCAAGAATCGCCATCGGCAAAGGCAAGGCGGCAAATTATCAAGCTCTGTTTTGATTTTTCTATATCTACGTGACATTGAAATGAAATGGATTTGGATGGAATTTAAGCTTCTCCAGAACCAAACGCAATGCACAGTTCTCAGGTCCAAAAACCGAACCAGAATGGAGCAAGCCAGCTGATCTAAAATGAAAAGTTATTCCTCGAAGTCTTCCATTAAGCTCCAAAGCAAGGATGGTGCTGAGGGGCGTGATTGCGTTGGGTCTCGTTCACCGCTATATAGCTTTAGCTAGGAGGGGGGATGATGGCGGGTGCTTTTTCGTTTGGGAACGCAAATGCATATCCCGCATCATGAGGTGCGATTGGGAGCGTAGTGAGGGTGGGAGAGAACAGTTTTCACATATCATCTGGGTCTGACTATATCTCTCATTATCGTACCAGTTGCATCACCAGGTCCATGAAAGGCAAACAAACGGCTCCTCTCAAAAGTCTGTCTATCTATGTCTAATTACAATATATATATATATATATGGGATCTGGTCCAGATGTCTTCTTCCAAAAATGGCTGAAAGTCGTGTTCACATGGGAGCCGCTAGATTTTTTTTACTTTTGGCACACACAGCTGGTTAATGCAGGAAACATGCACCAAACAATTATTGGCGCCAAATTGTAAGAGGCGTCACTAGCGCTGCACCGCTTTCAGCTGATCTCCGAGCTTCAAGCCATGCTTGAAACAAAAGACATGTTGCAAGTCAGCCTTGGAAGGGTCCACGCTGGAATCTGGCAATGTTTGCTAGCGCAGATCTAGCGCAGTGCTAGCGCGCGGCTAGCGCATTTTTCAGCCAACCACTTCTCAAAAATACGACGAACATGTCCTAAGGCAAACACTAGCGTCACTAGCGCAAGTCTACCGCAAACCTAGCGCCCAGCTGCAGAATAGGTGTGTTTAGCTGGGGGCCCGCGACATAATCTAAATGAAATAACAACATCATAAGCTACTTTCGACCCCTTTATCTACTTCTTTTGATTATAGACTTTTGGCCGGACTCCATATATCGATATACATTTCATGACTGCATCATATAGTTTATTGCACAGAATCAATCTATTGGTCGATGTCCTTCAAATTGCGCTTTTTCGTTATATCCGACAATGCCTATTTTGGACCCCCTGAAAAATGTACAAGTTCAAAAGGTCGAAAAATAGAGTGATTACGCGTGATTACAGGAAACTATATTTGGATCCCCCATGGTGCGGGTGGTTGTTGTCGCGAAGCCGCCCGAATAATTTATTCTGCACAAATATGCCAGAGTTATTGCAGCAATTGACGGAGGGTGGAATAACTAATTAGTGCATGGGCCATCATGTATGCATACCTCACCATCATTACATCTCACCCTTGGATCGCAGCCATTTGATTCACAATAAGTGCATGAGACCCGTCCATGGCTTTGCAGGGGTCAGTAGTGGCTAGGCCGCCATATTGACTACGCCGTTGGGCCCCTGCACATTTTTCGCTTACACTTCTTAGCAGAGGTATGCTTTTAGAAGGGGGTAAGAATGAAGTGCTTAGTCAACAAGAAACCATGATTTGCCCAAGAATAACCTGTGCAAAGAATTGCGAATCCATGGTACGTCAGTATGTCGACAATGTCATTTTCACAACCAAAAGGAGAGAAAACGAGAAAATAACATACAAGGCTTTTTGGTTGCGATTTGCATTCCAAAGACTTGGGCCTCTTGTGGTGGGAGCTCTTCGAGGCCATGGCTCCGCTTGCACTGACGGACAGATGCGGCCTGCATCCATCGACGTGCCTGGGTGACGCTTGCTGTTGCTATCAGCTACTACATGTTCACACATGTTCACGAATCAAAATGGACAACAAAAATAACAGAACATGTCATCTATATAGCTTGATTTCAGAAGCCGCCTGAAAGCTCTCACGTGTTAAGCCCGCGAGTATGGAAGTGCTTGCCCTGGGCCGAATTATAAGTTTAACCACGACGGCAAACAAGGAAGCGTCTGCAAACCTTAGGCTGTACGCGTAGCTGGCACACTGGTGGCCTAGAGAAACATACATCTGCACAGGCGCATGCAATATCATGCGATACATGCAATGCGATGCAATGTGTGTCTCTACCTTTTTTGGGGGGCAACCTTACGCAAGTCAAGGTGTTGCTTTCATAGTCAGGAGTCATAGTCATAGTCCAATCTTTGTGTCCAAGCCCTTCCTGATCAAGTGACCTGTGGCTCTGCAGATCCGAGCGGTAGCCGCGCCAGGGCTTTGGTCGATGCGGCAAATGAGCTGGCGCTTTCCCCTGTCAGGCGAAGCTTCCTTGGGGCTCAGTGCTTCGACGGATACATTTTTTTTCATCTGAAAAGCCTTCCGCAATGTCAAGACCGGGCCGAGCGACGGATCACAAAGCAGAAGGACCAGCCTTGCCAAGCAAAGACTTGCAAGGTGGAGCCGCTTAACTTTAAATTAGGAAAGGCAGTCACTCCCACTCTCTCACTCTCACTCTCTCACTCTCACTCTCTCACTCTCACTTACACGCTCACGCTCACTCAACCTCACTCACATTCACACTCACTCACACTCACATTTGCACCCACTCTCACTCTCACTCTCACTCTGCTCTGCCGCTCACTCTCGCCCTCACTCACTCTGACTTACTCTGACTCACGCTCTCACCCACTCTCACTCACTCTACACTCACTCTCACTCACACTCATACACGCTCACGCTCACACTCACGCTCACGCTCACGCTCACACTCACTCACCACCACGATCTCCACCTTCATCACCACCATCTGGACCCCAATGCGTCTAGATCTCTAGACTTTCTGCACTTGTGAAGTCAAATCATTGAACCGATGTCAGTATTGTCAGTCTCATCGACACGGACTGATACCACCCGCCGCGTTGAGGTCAATCAACAAACAACCTACTTGACAATCACAAAAACGGCTGGTGCCCTTTTGAGGTGTCATCTCTACAACAAGCTCAACAAACACCCAGCAGAATAAGGCCGGCATCCATCACTTCCCCTGAGGAAGCGACCAACAAACACCCAGCCGGCATCCATCACTTCCCCTGAGGAAGGGACCTCCATGGGAGAAAAAAACGCGGTGGCAAGTCCATTGATCAAAGCCATCTAGTGATGGGGTGCTTCGCGCACGAACTGACTCTAACTGCGTGATTCGAAACCAAATCCGATATGGGACAGCCTGGGGGGACACCAAACCAAATAGATTCAGCCAACCACACGTGCCCAGCAGCAAGAGGTGGCCTCCGAAGCATCGCAAAGGGCTTTTGCATGCTTGCGGCCCATGTCTTCTCAGCGGCCTAGAAGGGACGGGTAAGTCCAGGTGAACTTGCAATGGGAGCAACAGCGGGCTGGATGAGTATGAAACTCAAGGACTTGTATATGTATATACAAATATAAATATATAAGTCCATTTTCGAGAGGGTTGTGTGTGTGTGTGCCAGCTGCATTATCTTACATGACTGGCAAAACCCACGCACCACTGGTGGATGAAAACAGCACAGTTCAAATAGCGGAAAAAAATCGCACTCCCATCAATCTCTGGGCCTTTCAAACCCTCCTGGCCTCAGCGTATGCCCAGAGCAGGTTAGCATGCTCTTGTGCTTTGATCGCCCCTGCGCACCAACCGAACAAACAAAAATGTGGTTCCCTAAAAGTTGCGTGCAAACACATGCCTTGCAGTAATATATAAGCACGGTGTTTACTTCTGTACCACAGTTGTTGCTCCGAGTTATCAGTTACAGTATTTAGGAAGGTAGATGCCAATGTATGCCAATGTTATTTATACATACATATATGCATATGTGTAGACATGTATCTTATCATCATCACATTATATATAACCACAAACAAGGAAACACATATATACACATACAAGTATATGTATAGATGTTTAAAATATTGTATTAGATATACATATAAATGTCTGTTCAATTCTTTCTTTGCGCGTTGCCAGCCCAGCTGGCCTGTGGAGGTGAATGGTTCGAGCTGTTGGATGGCACTGCTCAGCAGCTGTCGAGTCACGCGCTCTGCGACCATTACCCTGGCGAAGGTCTCTCACAATTGAAAGTGGCTACATACACTCCTATGTACATCTGGTAGCTCATTGGGTCTTTTGACGACAAGTAAAAAAGAATAAATATATATATGCCTTTTAACAAGCTAGTCGCTGGCAATGCCAAACACAAAGCAGGCCAGCTCAAGCGATAATGAATTCCATCCAAGTTTTCAACCAACTGTATAGGACGTGGGAACGCATTTAACAAACGCAGCTGCTCAGTTTCAAGCTTGGTGTAGAGTCTACAAGGTTCCCCCCTGAAAGGGTAGTTCCCTCCTAAAAGGGCAGTGCCCACATTAAACCTCCACACAAAAGAGTTGCTTCAATTTTGTGCGTAGCGAAGGGTTCTCGTTTAAGTCCGGGGCTCTGGGCGACTCTTGTTCACGACTCGTTTCCGTAGCGTTCGCAACCGTTCCTGATTTCACTGCGCAAGTGCATGCGAAATTCTCAGCTTCCTTCGCAGCCAGATTGAGATTGGCGTTTTAAAGGGCGCAGTTTTTGGGGGGTGTTGGACCGGATGTGGCTGTGACATCGGGATGTGCGTTTCCGGCTGTTGCTTCGAATCTGCGTTGAGTGACAAGTCTCAGCAAAAATAACAATTTTTGTGGATGGGAAGGTGCTCAGAACGTGTCGAAATCATTCCAAATTCCAAACGTGTGGTGTTGTGCAAAAGTTGCTGAAAACATGAACATGATAGAACATGTCATATCCTCGGTTTTTGTGGCGGGCGCACTACTTTGTGTGGTTGGAGGTATCGAAGTTGTATTTTCGTGGCAGGCGCAGGGAATCGTGAGGTTGCGATGTTTGGTGGAGGCGATGTCAGACAAGTGTAACAAGAAGGGAGACGAGCAGGGAGACAAGTGGGAGACAAATGTAAAATCATCCGGCCAAGCAAGGCCAAAACGACAAGTGGAGCAGAGTAGGCCGAGACAAGTGGGAGACAAGACAAGAAGGAGACAAGCAGGGAGACAAGTGGAAAAATCATCCGGCCAGTAGTACCCGAATGAAGAGTGTCTGACAAGAGTGTCCTACAAAAGTGTCCCACGAGAGTGTCCGACAAGAGTGCCCAACAAGAGTCCCCCACAAGATCCCACAAGAGTGTCAAATCATATTTGGCCGTTTGTGTTCGAGTGCGCGTGAGCATTCGGGTTCACGGGTTCCATCTTGTTATTTGATTCCTTTTCATGGTCATTCTTTTTCATGTCCTTCTCATTTCCTTGTCATGTCCTTTCGATTCTTTTTATTTCCTTTCATTTCCTGTTCGATGCCGTGTCTGCGCACTTCACACAAGAAAGCTTACCATAATTCACCAATCTGATTGTACAAACATCTTTCTTAGCAATGCAAGTTGAGAAGGTCACAACGGTTACCCTCACGAGCCCTGTTCTCTCCACTAACGGTTAATCATCCCCACTGTGGCTTCTAAAAAAGTAATTCTCCTGTTCTTTCCTGTCATTTCCTTTCGCATCCCAAGATTCTCCTGGGTGCACCGCATTCCGTTTATATAATGGGGGCCAACTTCGGAATCCTTCTGGGCCTTCCTGCCGAGGGAGAATTGACATTGGCTCTTGGATTGGCCGTCAAAGCTATTGGATACCTTGGATTCTATTGTTTTCTTATCGTTCTGCAGCCGCACCTGGCATAAGACCAGCAAAGGATAGAGATATGTGAAAGGAACAGCCCCTCAAAGCGAGCGCTCCAAGGACTGTCGGAACGCTTCTTGACCCGTGCAGTTCGCAGGAAGTCCTGGGAGCACCATCAAAACATCTGCTGCCATCTGTTTTCGAAGGCCTTCTCCGATGTCTGTTCAAAAGCCTTTCAGAACCACCACTGGCCCAAGGCTCTCCTTGATTTCAATACTTGAGCTGCAATTCAGCCAAGCAACTGCCAAGCTGCGTAAAAAGTCTTTCGAGGCAGCAGCGGCCTGCTGGCTCCCATGGAGCCTTGCTATAGCCCAAGCGCTTGTGGCCAAGTGTTGAATCTCAGCTTCCTAGTCAGAATGGCACAGCACATGCGGAGGGAAAAAAAAAGAAGGAGCATGCAAAAGTGGACACATGAGCATCATTGGGCATTTAGAGCCCTCCAGCACACATCTCGAAATTCGCTCAGGATTGCCACATGCAAAACAGAATTGTTTTTAAAAAGCGTCCTCCAGCAAATCATTCATGCGAGTACTCAAGCTGTTGACCAGCTTGCCTGCGCTAACATGTCCCAGTGACTGCACGTCACAACGAGTGCCAATCGATCTGCAAGTTTCATTGGCAGCACCCGGCCTTCTGTATCCAAAGGCGCACCCAGCTTTGCAAGTGACCAAAGGATGTTGGCCACCTCGGATGCTTTGTTGAGCTCCCATTGCTCTTGCAACAATAGAATTGTCTTCATGTTTGGCCTTGCAAAACTGATAAAGCCAGGTTACATGTTGTGGCCGTGCAGATGGCAAGCAACAAAGAATTCCGGTTTCCAGCTGAGCTGCTAGGTCATGAGCCTGACAACTCCGCGCATGAGACTTTCAGCATCGATGAGATATTGACATGTTCAAGTCGCTGTCTTTGCAGCCGTACCCAGAAAATCAAAAAGGCACGTCTGGGCAAGAATGTCAAGACCCTCTGAAACCCAAAACATCCTATCCTGATGCTATGAAAACATTATATATACATGTATAACTGACTGCCAACTACATGTATATATAAACATCATTGACTCTGAAGTCCCCCCCGCGATTCTCATCATTTCTCATCCCCGCCTGTTCCCCGAAGCCGCCCTCGAAGGCTTTGGCCAAACCTTGGAAGCAACTGGAAGCAATCACGTGCTGAGCGGTTGAGCCTGACGCTTGATGGAACATGTCACAGCATGTCAAGAAATCCTTCAGGTCTAACGTCTTCGGCCAGGGTACTCCAAAGTACGTTGGCAACAGCTTGAGGTGAGGAAGGCTCTTCTGCATTGCCAAATTTGGCCGCGTAAGCACCAACCAATTCAGAGATCCATCCACATGGGTTGAAGCCCAATGAGGCACATGCCCAGGCCATGTTGCCTTAATGCAGGGATTTGCAGGCAAAGCTAAGCCTGCAGGGCCCCCAAGCTAAGCCTACATGCTTGAGTCATGCCTGCAAAATCAAGCCCTATAAAGAGTTTACTAATACGAAGCATACTTTATACAATATTTTCTGAGGCATTGATATCCTAAAACTTTGAGTACCTTCTCCACGATACTGGAACTCTCCTATTTACAATGGCTTGGACATGTTCGTGATTCTTCATTGACATGCTCGTGTATACATATGTTTACCATCAAACAAACTCAAAACAGCAAGGCAGCACAACATTCGCATGTGAGCTGACTCAAGTCAAACAATGCCGCACCAAACTGCGACATTTACTGGACAAAGGCAGAAAGCCCCTCGCAATTGCAAACAGCACAGCAGTTGGGAAAAGCTGCTTCACTTCAAACTAAAGTGAATGTATCAAAATGCCAGGTCCTACATGGTCCGACTTTAGCGGTGGCCTGCAGCTCTGAAACCAAGGAAGCCAACGACAGGTGCCAGTGACAAGCCCTGCCCCATCCTGCCCCCCCCCCCATAGCCTCAATAGGGATTTGTGACATCTAATTTTCCCCATGCCCCTGGTCCAAACTGCCCCCTGTCAATTCATCATGGTATGAGTAGGGATTGTCAAAGTGACTCAGGTCCTGTTCTGAACATTGTGGTAGCAGTGGCTGTGCCATGCTCCTGGCACCTTCACGACACAAAAGGCGTCAAAGCTTTCCAAAGCATAGCTTGGCAAGTGCAACAACCAAGCAATCTTATGCAATCAGAGTTCAACTCTGGCACCTCTGAGAAATTCCTCCTCAGTCCACTGAAGAGTAGCTGCGGCCCAAAAGCAGCGAGCTGCATCGCTGCTTGTAACACCTCCATGCCAAGCTGAAGGAAAGGAAGGAACACCAGGAAAGGATGGAAAAGCAAAGAGGAATCCTCAGAAAAAAAAAAAAAAAAATCTATATAATCCTTGGCAAACAAACGCCATCAAAGCCGTCAAGGCCGTTAAGGCCAATCGTCATAGCAAGGCTCTCATCTTCACATCTGCACCGCTCCGCAAATGTCATTTTGCTCTCACATGGTGTTAGAGGAGGCATCCATGAGGCATCCGTTGGCTGCTTCAGACTGGACTTGTGAGCCAGTCATCCTCCAGCAGCTGCGTCTTTGGCATTGCCCAACTAAAAGCACTGGCGTGCAAATCTCCTTGGCTGGAGGCTTTTGAAAAAAGTAAAGCACTAAGTGATTCAAACATGATTCAACTCACTACTTAGTCACTACATGACTCATGCTCTCTCTCTCTCTCTCTCGCTCTTATGATCTCCGGTGCTTTGGCCAAGTCTCTGTGACATCGCCCATTTCGTGCTTGGTGACACTTGAGCACTTTGGCCGTACCGGAGAGGAGCAAGACTTGATCCCCATCTTCTAAACGACACTGCCACCGTCCTGCCAAACGACACTGCAACCCGTTCGTACGTCTGTGATACACAAAGGAAGTTGGTAGTCTTGCATCTTGCTTTGGGCCCACACTGGGCCTAAATCTTTGTAAACATGGAGTTGTAGATCAATGTTTGGCCTATTTGTGTCAGTAGCTGGAGCTTTACCCCATCGTCCCTCTCCTCTAGCTGTTGTGTTCTCATCTACCCACCACGCTAGGCCGATCCGCTGGAAATGCCGCCTTAGTTGCAAATCTTTTGGGTCCTTCATCAAAATATGAAGAGTACAACTCCATACTGAAGCAAAGTCAACATATCCCAACAGTGCATCAAGGGCACTGGTAAAGAAACCGCCCACCTTCAAGGACTTTCAGATCTACCTGACAAGATCTCTGCACGTGCTGCGCCTGGCCTCGGGATCAGGATCAAGCTGAACCACACAATCCGCACCCAAATCGCAACATATCGATTGGCGCCATTGTTTCTTTGATAGTGAGAGCGCCAGACTGACAAACAGAAACCCCCACTCAGCATGTGCAGGTTCAGCTGCTCTCACAGACCTTCTTGAAGCACTTATTTGTGCACCTCAGCTATGGGCCAATGGGACTGGTCAACAGAGATGCCAACCAGGCCCATGCTAGGCATCAGGATGCATCAGGTATATAGCCCAACAAGATTCCAACCCAAGCTATACTTTTGTGACTGTCATATATTCCAAGTGATCTCGGCCAGCCGTGACTCTTTTCTCTGCATGCTGCATGCCTCACACCTAAACCATGAACACTGAATAGAGTCTTGGCAAGCAGAACACATGGTCTACGAAGCCCCCCTTCTCTTGGAAACCATTGCCTTATGGAAGCGCCTGGAAGTCCATGAAACATCCACGTCAATAAACTTGAAGGTAACGGGTTCGGGCTTCATGGGTCTGCGGTACACTTACATTCTCTCCGCTTTGTCAAAGTCGAAACACTGGCGTAATGACATCGGCTGTGGCCCTCACAAACAACGAACATGTGCATTCTAGTAGCAAGGATGCTATTAGTAACAAGGGGCATCGCGACGAAGAGCAATAAGCTACTAGTAGCTCCTGGACGTACTACTAGTAACAAGAAGCTACTATGTGCGTAGCACCTTTTGAATTCTTCCAGGTGGCCAATCCGGCTCTCGGTTCACCACGACTGTCACACGACATCCAGAAAGCTCGGCGGCTGCGGTCGTATCTTCTATGACTCCGCCACCTGGTGATGGCACATCAAAGCTTTAAAAAGAGAAAAAGTTTCTGAAAGTCAAAACCCAGTGGAATCGTGGCCACATCGATTTCATCTTCATCTTCATTGTCTTATTCTTATTCATCTTCATCTCAATTCATCTTGATCGTGATCATTTGCGACCCCCCACTGGTCAAACTGACCGTGATGTTAATGCAACACTTGTCACTTGTCACTAAATTACTAAATGTCACTTACTCGATATAATTCAACATTTGCAATTTGCCGTCTCACCAGCCGCCCATGAATCGAGGCAAGCTACAAGTGTCAACATCTGCGTTCAGTATGTACTGCAGCAGCAAATCTGGAGCAATGTTTAGACACGCAACAATGCGCTCATGCAGCACAAGTAGCGTGTCCTTGATTCACAAACGAGCCACGACACAAAATTGCCTGTCAGGTCCAGGACCAGTGGCGATATGTGGCGATCTATGTCAGAACATGCGCCCAAAAACACGATGGGAACACACGCAATAAAAAGGACTTTGTGTAATGGCGGTGAGGATGAATGTCCAACGACCCTTCCGATTAGGGTGGGGCGTTTTCGAATTCCCCAACCGGAAGTACACGTCGATCATGTCTCGAGTCTCGAGGTTTGGACCAAAGGCCTTAATAAGATGTATAAGGATCCGGTGGAGTCATGAGCGACGCAATCCAAGTCCAAGCTGCACCTCACAACAAACCAACACCACTGTAATATCAGTGTTTCAGGAAAACGTGCCAGAGTCCTAACAACCACCCCGAATGGTATTCATTTAGCAATCCCGACGTGTACATCATGTCATGCACCAAATGCTTGGGCCACATAAAAACCCCGTGAAGGAACCAATGCAACAATGCGTCAGTAGTTTAACGCAAACCCGATCCAAACAGCGCCAATTCATCCGAAGTTCTGTTGGCATGCAGGTGATTGTCTGCGTCACGCCGCTCAGCAGGCCCACTTCAAAGCGTACGAATGCGTCAACTTCCTGGGTCGCCCGCCATGCTTGGAACAGGACAATCCACACTTTGAGAAGGGGAGACACCAAAGCTGGGAAGGCAGGAAGGCGCAGGTCAGAAAAGCCGAAAAACAAAAGTAGGCGGCCAGATGAAGAACCTGGCAGTGGTTTATAATGTATATATGCTGGTTCAAGTGCGGGAGCTCCCCAGCATATGACATGAAACGCGAGCCAAACACTTTACCCTTCTATATAGTTTGTTCTATCATTCCCCACTACAGTCTACAAAACCGACAAAGCTACAGGCAGACCCTTTCCTGGCCGGGGTAGCTGCACAAGCATAGCCGCCACTAGTCCCACCAGTGACAAGCCCATGCAGTCACACCTCACATTGCACTTGGACAATGAACAAGTGACAAACCCTTGCAGTCACACCTCACATTGCACTTGACTTGGGCAATGAACAGGGGTGCGAGTGGGGCTTTAAACAATGCAGCAGCCACACCGTTGCCATAACCAGCAGCTGCAAGATATACAACCTAGACCAGGCAGGAAGAGCGTTAGGGCAAGCATCCAAATCATGCATGCAACATCATGCAACCAACACCCTAATTACCCTTCCAGTTCTAGCATTCCTCACCACGCAACCAACAAACCCCCAGCAGCACACATCCATGCGTTCACACCCCGTCCGCAAGGTGCGGCAAGCGAAAAGCACACGGCTTTAACCCAAAACACTTCGAGGATCTTCAAGGTATATACTTGGCCATAGCGCGGCAATGCGTTTCGCACTCCAGCCACATGGTTGAGTTCCCATGCTTCACGCAAGCGAACCACATCGCCTGTAAAACAAACCAAGAAGGCCCCTTTTGAGAAAACCGCTTGGCGCACGATGAAGCGACTGCTAAATTGTCGCACAACTGTCGCAACTGCAAGATACTGCAAGTCAAGCAGCATTCCCCAGAGATCCTTCTCTCGCCCTGAGCTCAACAGAGCTTCCAAAAATGTAGCTAACTTTCCCAGAGCAGGGAAATCTTCCGCCCCCACTCCACCAAGACCTCCAACTTCGGCACTAGCAAAAGCGTCTGCTGCTCGTCCACGTCGAAGTCCGCAGGTAAATCTGCGGCTGAGTCTCCAGCTCAGAGACCCAAAAAGAATTGCAGTCTGAGCGCCACCGGCGGAAACTGAAGAAACCCCCGTGTCGTACGGGTAGTTGAAGAGCACTCAACCAACACGACTCATTCCGCACCCTTGGGTACTAGTAGCCTATGCAGAGAGATCGCAAGTCATCTACCAGCGAGGTTGCTGTCAACCCCCCAACTCGCCAACCAAGGCTTCCTACCACGCCCAGCGTGCCAGCAGCTACAGCTACACAAGGCCCCCACTTGAACCTGGCTGCTGCTTTTCACCAATGAAAGCATGCCAGCATCAACTTTGTTGAGGGAAACAACCAACCTCTGACCTCTGCCAATCTCAGCAAAAAAAGAAAGCCCAGCCTGAAAGTTTGGATGTGTGGTGGAACCTCCAATACAGAGTTCGAATCAAAGATTGTTTGTGCAAACAGCAAATCCTCCAGGTCTCGGCGGGCGATGCCCCAGCAGCGCACGTGCGATACCCCTATGCGCACAAGCTGGCGGACAATGCCCGCTGCGCAGTGCTGACAAGGGGGTGTTTATTCCCAACACGAACTTTTGTTATGGGTGGGGCTTCCTAAGGGGGCGCTGCGGTGATCCCATGATTGAGATCCAATGACACCAACGCTGATCCAATGATCCGAGCGCTACAGCGAAGAATTGAACAATCAGTCCAAGGGCGGGATGAGGGTTTGGAATTGATCCTAAAGGCGATTGAACCCAAGGAAGATCAAGGGAGGGAGGGAGGGAGGGAGGGACAAAGGGAGGGAGGGGCTCTAAAGTGAGAATTGCCTTTCGCTGCAGTAGTGTGAATTGATGAATCAATTGTTAGACCCGGACGACCTAACACTTGCTTCGCAAGACCAACTCAAGGTATCCCCTGCTTCGTGAAAACTGAAAACCACAAAGGTCCGATGTATACAATAATATACAATGTACTGGCATGACCATGGCATGACCTGTAAACGTCATGTTAAGTGAGACGTAGTGAGATGGGTACACCCCGGCAAACAAGTCCATCGCATACATGCCGGGCAACCCTCCACTTGGTTGGGAAAAATCAGCCAACTCTGAGACTGCACGTCCAAAATGTTGTTCGGCTCAGGCTAGTGATTTGTCGTATTTCGCAGTTGACATCATAAACGCCAAGACCTCGGACATCCGTTTGGACGGCCAACCCAAACGGAGCAAACCAGCCAATGAGTCCGAGCGACTGCAACGACGGACCCACGGCTACGCGCAAATTGGCCGCCCATGCGAGCAAATTGATCACGAACGACAAGGCGTGAAAATGCTTGAAGTGAATCTTGGAGGAACTCTCGTTGTGCTAGTGCTAGGGGCTGGGGTGCGATGGTTGGAGAGGGAAGGTCAAAATGCAGTGGCCCTTGTCTAAGTAAGCTCGTGCTCTCTCTTCCTCTGCAAAGTCTAGCTGTCTCGGAAAATACTGCTTACAGGTTTAACAACCCGCTCATAGAGAAGTGGTCTTGATTCTTGATCCATGTGTCGACTAAGCACGCCTGAGCAAGCACATAATCACTCCTGGAGCCAACTGACGGCATCAGTCACGGGCTTTAGTTGAGAGGCCGAATGCATTTCAGCCGAGCTTGTAACACCTGACACTGTTGGCGTTCATCATATGCAACAAATTCCACATCCCTAGAAGCGTCCTTGTTCCTAGTGGTGCGGCCAGGAGCCCCTAGTAGCTTCTTGTTCCTAGTAGCAAGGCCAGGAGAACCTAGTAATGTTGACATCGTATTAACCAACCCCCCCCCTATTAGTCTACCCAGGGTTCAGGCCCCAATAATAAACTAATTTGAACTACTAATTTCCACAGTCACCACCCTCTAATAAAATTTTGCTTGGCTGAAACCCCCCTGTCCCTCCAGGAAAAACTCAAATATATATGTGTTTAATAACTCAAATATATATGTGTTTAATTAGTTTTGTTCTTTTTCCCTTTTCAATATTTTCTTGTCTTGCCATGGTGAAACTGATCTTCTGATTGATTACCAATGCTCTCCCAAAGCAACAGTTTTCCTAGAATTTCCAAAAACTCTCTAGGAAAATTCTTTCATTTTCCCTTATTGAAACTCTATCAAAATCTGCAATTTGAGAAGCTCAGAAAGGGTACCCCCCATACACCCCCTACCCCCCTCTAATAGTGGGGTACCCCCCCCCTATTAGTCAACCCCATCCATGATGAGCTCTCATGGACCTCATGATGAACGGGAATTAGTATTTGGGCTTTCATGGATCTCATCATTCCATTCCAGCTCTTCCAAATACTAATTCCCTCTCATCCCAACCCTTCCAAATACTAATTACCTTTCATTCCAATTCTTCCAAATACTGAATCCCTTTCATTCCAAGTCTTCCAAATACTAATTCCCTTTCATTCCAATTCTTCCAAATACTAATTCCCTTTCATTCCAATTCTTCCAAATACTAATTCCCTTTCATCAGGTCATCCCCACTATTAGGGGGATGTGATCTCCAAAACCTCGAATCTCAAACCTTGTTGACCTTGTTGACCTTCTAGGGGGGGGGGGGGCCGTTGATTAATACGATGTTGACATTAGCGTCCTTGTTCCTAGTATACAGTACAGTATGTGCAACAAATTCCACACCTGTTGATGGAAGGTGCACCTCGGCCGTCGGCTGCAAGGAAGCTAATAAATAATGTATGGTTGTTCTGTTGTCCGCGCTACTTCATACTACCGGCAACGTCGCAAAGGCTGTTCCGTCCATAGTGTCCAATCAGGCCGCCAGCATCATGAAAGCCCACAATTCCACAAGAAAACATCTAAGATGAAGTGTGTTCTATCACTCTCCAGGAGTAAAACACCCGTGCTGAGTGTCGAAGGGGCCATCTAGCCTACGGCACCATGCCAAGGAGCTGCCTTTGTTGCCGCATCTTGAAGGGCCCGTGGCGCTTTGGCTTTGCAACGCGCTGTGGCCCATAAAATGCCAGCCTCAAGTGGTTGCAAACCCCTTCGGCTCGTCCGAGAAAACGTGACTGCTATTGACTGATTATACAGTAATGTATATATACTTGTATATGTAGCTGAGTGATTATCGTTGATTAGCTAGTGGGCAAAAGTCGCCGCAAATTCCTCCAAAACCTTTTCAATAGTGCCGAGTCACCCAGTCTCTCGTGGAAAGAGCAGGCTCTTCCTTGGTTGTGCAAATCTATGCGTTTTACACTGCCTTGCGGTACCAGCATCTTTGCCTTCGTAGCATGCTGATGTTAGAACCAACATGGTATGATTTCCATTGATTTCCTGAATGGCAAATGCAAATGGCATGAAATCGTCAGAGGAAACTTGAAGGACCATCAACACATATCATGAACTTGAAAGACAAAAACTGTTGTGTCACATCATGCTGGCTAACACGGATGTCAATTGTCCAAGCCCTTTTCGGAAGAGGTACTGCAGGATTGGCTGGCAGTTGCACCAGCAAGGCCTCCATCCGCTGACGCCGGGCCTTCCAAGACTACACCGGCCACAGGCGTTCTTCAAGCCAAGGAGGGTCTCTCAATTCAGTGTACGAACTCCAAGTGGCAACATCTTTTCAGGGCTCTAAACTGCAGAAAAAAAAAAACCTCTAACAAGGAAAGTGAGCACCGCACCTCTGGCCACCCTGCGAGCTTGCAACGACTGCCCGGCGGTGGACGATCCTGACTCCACATGACGCTCGGAATTCGGTACGCAAGCAACCTGTGATGTCGCTTCTTGAAACAGGAATCTTCACTCAACGGGCAGCTTGAAAACGAGTTGCATAGAAACGGGGCATCACGAGAATCCGCCAACTGAACAATGATACATTTACAGTATTAGTCTTCAATTTCCGGACCCTGCAAGAGTTGTGCAAGAAGTCAGGTTAGCCTCGCAAAGCCATGCTGCAATGTATGGGAAATTACATGAACGACAGGTCAAACTGCATGGTATACAGTATTCATATTGGAAATGCTTGCCCTCCAGCAAGCCAACCTGGAAACTGTCAGAGCTGTTTGGGAAGATCCGCTCCTCTACCGAGGTGATGTGCATTCTGTTGGTTGCAAGGGTAACCCGCCAAAAAAACCCTGGCCTCCCAGTGATTACACTACAAAGTTATACAATCTTTCCCTAAGAATCTAGAAACCAAATCATTAGTGCGAGCGCTTCTTCAAGGAAGACCCCCCCAGGCGGGGGGCATCCTTGAAGCATGAGCTATCCTGCGTCCATATGTAGTAGCTTAAGTAGCTAGTAGCTTACTTAATCTTACTTTTTAATTCAGTAGGCGCCTGAGACCTCACAGGTCTGGTTTGAGATTCAAAGCTGGATTGAGTTGGCGCTTGCACAGGGGGTTGACTGGCACGGGTGTTCGGCCGACATCCAGAAATGCTTCAACTGCATAGAACGGCAGGCCTCTTTTGTCCTTGCAGAGCATCTCGGCACACCCAAATGCATTCGTGCACCCTGGACCGCCTTCCTGAATGTTTTTGAAAGGAGATTTCAAGTGTTGCACACGGTCAGCCTCCCGATCAAATCCACCAGGGGTTTTCCAGAGGGGTGCCCACTGAGCATCCTCACCATGATCCACATTGGTTGGGGTTTTCACACATACATGCAATTTTACCACCCACGGGTGCACTGTTTGTCATTTGTGGACAACCTGGACTTCCACGGCGGTCAAGAGGAAGAAATTTGTCAGGCAGTCGAAGGCACCCAACAGTGGTTCACCAGCTACGGGCTCACTCTTGATACTGCCAAGACCTTCTTTTGGTCCACCAGTGCCAATGTTCGCAAGATTTGGCAAAGTCAGGGACTCAAGATCATCACGGATACCAAAGAGCTTGGTGGAGCCATGACGATGTGCCGTTCCGTCCGCAACAGGGCACTCAAAGCTCGCTTCGAAGGACTGGAAACGAAATGGAAGCAACTATCTAGATCAGTGGCTCCGACGCTGCGCAAGATCCAGATTCTGGCCACCGTTTTTTGGCCCCTGGCTCTACATGGTGCCTCAGCGTGTTTGCTTGCAGAGGGACATCTAACCATGCTCAGAAGGGCCGCTATTCGAGCCACTGGGCTTCAATGTGCCGGTGCAAATTCCTGGCGTCGCTTTCTCTAATACTGCAGCTTTCACTTTCCGCAGGATCCTTCAGAAAGTGCCCGACCTGATCCACATGACCTGATCCACATGTGGAGGCTTCACTTCGGGTATTTCGGTTGCCCTTTTCTGCCTGGTCCTTACACAAAGCTGCTCAACTTCTTTGGACTGATTGGGTGGGCCGTGGTCGACCCACCTTGGATCGCTGACCATCATGGATGCCTGCATGATTTGCTGACTCAGGACAGGGGGCACCTACAGGCCCGATTAGAAGATGCCTGGGCACAGTATGTTGCACGACATGTCAAACATGCCCACATGAGCCAATTGGACGGTATTGAACTCGAGCTTTCTCGTCTGGACCACTTTAAGCTAGAGCCTCGCTCTCGCTTACGTGTCTCGGCGATTCAAAAGGGGGCCTTCCTTTCTGCCAGTGAACAGAGTAAGTTCGACCCCGCCAAATCTTTTTTGTGTCAGGTTTGCAATGTCCCCGACGATAGGGTCCATTGGCATTGCTGCCCCAAATTTGCTTCACTGAGGGAACAGCTTAATTTTACTCCAAATGTTTTTGCCGATTTGCCAGATTGCGCCAAATATCATCTTTTGGTGCCAAAGCTCCCTGAATCATTGAGACTCATGGCATATCTGGAAAACATGCCGGATCGCACCTTGGATTATGACACCTTCGAAATTGGAGCTGGTTGCATGCAGCACCTTTTCACCGATGGTGCCTGCCGAAGAATCGGAACCCATACATTCCTGGCAGCCTGGTCAGTACAGAATGCGACGTCTGGTATGCTTGTTGCGGCAGCACCTCTGCGTGGAGGCAAACAAACCGCACATCGTGCAGAGCTGCAGGCGCTTTGCTCTGCTGTGGCTTGGGGAAACCGAGTAAATATGCCGATCTGCCTTTGGTCTGACTCGGCCAACAATGTTGACACCCTTGAACGGCTGATCCAGGGAGACTTGATTCGGCTCCCTGAGCAAGAGCTTGACCTCTGGACCTTCATCGAGGCGGAATTGGACAACCGTCGGCACCTAGTCACTCAGGTTCGGTGGATCCCTTCGCACCTCAGCAAATCCTCAATTGAGGATGAATATGAAATTGGATTTCCCACTGGAACGACCGGGCCGACTACGCCGCTGTCCATACCAACCTCCACAGGGATTCGCTTTGTTTGCAGCTGGCCAAAGCCAGCCAATATGACTTCTTTGGGGCCCACCTGAACCAGCTCCGGGATTTCTACCTTGCAGTGGCCGATGTCACCGATCCTGGCTCTTCTGGCCATCGGACTTCTGAGGCCCCGGTAGTTAGAACGGTAGATGAAGAGCTTCTCACTGAGCACCTTCCCATTGGCTGGATGGCCATGCTTACCGGCATGCAGCGGCATGCAGCTGCCGTACCCTTCGGCATTTGCTCGCAGCCTGGTTGAACTGTTCATTGAGTGGGAGTCGCAGGAATGGTGTCCTTTTTGGGTTTCTGATGTTGAAATGGTTTTCATCTTAGCTGGCCTCGGGCTTGCCTTTCCAATTGACACCCTTGCGGGGCGTAGGCTGACGCCTTTCTTCGATTTGTTTGCTAAGCCCCCCATCACTCAGTTGTTGAAGCCTTTGTGTTCCACTTTGGCTGTCGTTTTGGAGGGCCTTGGCCTTTCTGATTGGAGGCGTTCTGACTTTGTCTTTTTTGAAATCGGCATTCACAAGAAAGGCGGTGCCACGTTTTTGGGTATTCCGGATGCACTGGCCACGAGTGCCAGGGAGGCCGTGAGACAGTTCACGCGCCGAAGACCATTCCGGAATGTTCAGGACTTTTCACGCCCCCTTCCTGCTCTTTAGACGTTCTTGGCCTCGAACAGTGGTCGCTCCGCGCTGCACTGCTGCGCGAGGATCACGGGACGCGCGGTCCGACTCGTCTGCGATAATTCAGTAGGCGCCTACTTGATCAAGTAAGGAGGCAGGGCCACGGCACGGGCACCAAACGCCGGTCCACTCTCGAGCTCATCGCTGCCAAGGCACTGCTCGACCCAAGACCACCGCTGAACGTACTACATCGCGCAGCTTGGACTTCCCGTGCGCAACCTCCCAACTGTAATCCACACCAAAGGTGGCAGTCAACACGAGAACTGGTCGGTACAATCTTTATGTATGTTGCACCGGCAAATAATGTGCCAAACGATTCTTCGTGGACAAGACTGGATTGAGGAATCCAACATTCAAGCCTATCGATATTAGATCTATTAGGTTGGAGGCCATCGCTACTAGGGTGGAGGCCTCCAACATTCAAGCTTGCAGCCGGCCTGCACCATTCAGTCCACTGCAACACTCCGAGAGGGCCGGGAAATCAAGTCGCCAAGCAAGCTGAGTCCATCAGGGGCGCCCCGGAGACCCAACCATTGGGTGGGAAAATAAATATTTATACAATAATATATAATCAACGAAGAGAGAGGGAAGGAAAAAAGATTGAAACATGGCACTGAAAGTCTTCAACTTCCAACCTTTCCAACCTTGAGTTTTCTCCAAACGTGCGACCTTAAAGAGATGAGATGGCCTGCTTCTTAGTTAGATATGCTCAGCTATGCCCATGATGGACTTGGCATTTTGACTTGACTCAGTGACTCATCGCCTTACGTTCTTTTCACCGTGTCTTTTCGCTTCTGCTGGGGTCCAAAGAGTCGCACATGGATCCAAGCGCTTCAACAACACGTGACAACGCATGTTCTCCATAATCAGCTGCCCCTCTGGCGAATAAATAAGCCGGAATGCCTTCGGTCTGTTAATCGAATTTTCTTCTCAAGGTCTGCTTGGACAATTGAGGCTTGGCATGATCAAAAGCAAATCCCTCACTTAGAGTAGCTGCGCAAGTCATGTCACTCATGGCAGCTCTGGTCACAGCATGCCACAGCTATGGCTTGCCTGGGGACCCGTCATTGAACGGATCTGGGCCTCTGCAGCCTGTTGAGCCAAAGCATTGGCAGCCTGTGGGGATGCTAGTTGAAGTTTTGGGAGTCTTTGACCGAAAGAAGTGTTCCAAAAGTGCAAATCACTGGCATTTGAGAGTGGCTCGAGCTCAACAGCTTATCAAATGAGGTGCCTCAAGCGAAAACGAGTTGGGAAATCTTGGGAGGCAATGTGGAAATGTGCTGCCTTCTGCGTAGAAATGGTGGATGAACGCGGGTGATGAATCAGTTACGAAGGAGGTTGCCAACCCGCCAACCGCTCGCGGACCACATCTCACCTGGGCTGCCTGCACGTGGGCCTGTGCTGTCTGCGCCTAAGGGTGCAAGCAGCATCACCGTAAGCAACGAGAGCAAGTCGAAGAATCGTGAATTGCCATGGCATGAAAGTGGAGTCAAGGACGCTACTAGGGGCTCCTGGCATCGCTACTAGGAGCAAGGACGCTACTAGGGGCTCCTGGCCTTTACTACTAGGAGCAAGGACGCTACTAGTAACAAGAAGCTGGAGTCAAGTTTGCCTTGTGAATCTGATTCTACTTTCCAACTCTATGATGTGCTGATCCACTGTATCCTCTGCAAGCAAGGGATGAGCTCAAACTACATACGGAAGCCCAGTAGGAGTTCCAAGAGACTTTGTGGCAGCTACTGAATGGACACCCAACAGGCTCTACCATATCATTATTCGGTGACATGCGCCAATGCTCTCGGCCATTGCGCAGCAATTTTCCTGCACGGGGGGGACGGGTGCGACACCTGATCACAAGCTCACAACCTTTGGGAGCTGCATTCCAAGAAGGACGTGATGGCAATGCTTCACCTGTTGCAGCTGCCCCATTCCATTTCACGCCGTTGCCACTGCTCAAAGCCGTTGACCCCGTCAGGCTCGTCCAGAAGTCACTCGTTGCATCTTGAGCTGCTCTGGCATTGCTTCAGCTCAGGTCAACCATCTTGCTGCCATGATGTCCATGTTGTTCACCTCAACAATCAACTCTAGAATCGGCATACCAGCGGCAAGCCGGAAAAAAACAAAAACACTCCAGCCACAAAGGACATACTATGACTCCCGGACCTACTAAACTTCACACTTCACTACAAGTACCAGGAATCCAAGCCCCAGATGAAATAAGAGCATCAACCTTCAAGAGGTTGGCCAAGTTCCGAGATACCTCCTAATTAATTGAGGTGCCCCATTGCTACAACATATCCCGTCTGTACCTGGCAGCCTAATGTCGCTGTCCTGCAACCGAGTCTCTGTAAAGCAGCCCAATATCCTTAACGCACATGGTTGTATGATGTATGTGTGTGTGCCTCGCGGCTGACCTTGCTGAGACATTTGTTGTGAGAGAATATCCGAAACCATTGGTGGCGTGCTCCAAGCAGTGCCTTGGAAACTAATATAACGCCTCGGGGAAGGACCTCACACATGGGCCATTTACACCCACTTCCGATCAACTTGAGCCAGGGACTGTTCTGGGAGCTCATCATCAGCCTGATCAGGTGCAGCAAGTTGCTGCCCCATTGAACATCTTGAAACATCTTGAACTTGAAACAGTATGCCCTTTGGAAAATCTCTGCACGCCTTGCCCTCAAGCAAATATCCGATCTCCACTTCAGCCTCTCTGGCACGATGGTGGTAGGAGACCATGGCGGCCCGGGTGGGGTAGTTCCAGTTGCGTACATCGAAGTCCTCGGCCCAAGCTACAGCGGGAGTCCAGTGATTGAGCAACAGTCACAAAGCCCTTGACACGGCATTACATTGTGTACTTTAAATGGTTTAGCTTGGCTGTGATCTGTGCATTGTCTCACGGACATGGTTATTCTGTCCGGGTCTTTTTGCAATTCTGCCTGAACCAAGATGATCCAATGACGATAACGTCTCTGTAAAAAAACAGTGACTACACAGCTGTCAGCCAAAATGCGATCTCCAACATCTCAGGCAGCCGCTTCTTGTACACCTTGTTCAGAGGAGACTCGTGTGGGTCAAGCTTAGCGTTAAAGCATCATTGTTAGACTCACCAGGCTTTCTAATACCCAAACAATTCTACCCAAACGTCTGGAAGGCTTCAAACCGTGACAGCTCAAGGACAAGCTGAGTGACAGTTGCGCTTCTCGTCAGCAAAACTGGTTTGTTGTTGAAACCTTGGTACTTGCCCATACTCAGGCTTCCAGAATGGGATAATCAGGTAGAAAGCCACACTGGCATTGTATGCAGGCTTTGTTGCCTTGTTGTTCCCTCTTGGTCTGTTGATGACGCTTGGCATCCAACGCTTGAATGACTCGGGGACTTCATGCTTGTCGAGGTCCTCGACACGACCAACCACCTGGAAATGCGGCGAGCAAAGCGCAATTCCTCTGCACTCATTTGCTCTTACAAGGGTCTGCACGAGGAATTGCGCTTGGGAAGCCGAATCAATTCAACATCAATTCTCTCTCTCTCTCTCTCTCTCACTCCGAAGAGTCGTCTGTCTACATACAAGCATGTACACGCATTTGGGCGCTACATACTGTTGGAAATGCACTTCAATTCAAAATGTTTTAGGTCGTGTGTAGTCCCGATGATTCCTGATGCGTCCTAGTCAAGTCTTGTCGGGGCTTTGCTAACCACTTGAACTTAACCTCCACTTGCTTCCAAAACAAGTAGATCCTTACTGCCAGCCTTGAGCGAAATGCCTTCCTTAGTGGAGACCCCTTCTTCAACGAATCTCTTCCAAAGCTGAAGTGCCGGCGTCCTCAGCCGAGACTGGACCTCCCATCCGAAGGCAACAGTTGTCATGTTGTCATTACGTCAGTGAGAGGAGAAACAAGAAACACGCATCAGTTCGCGAATCCTTGAATACTCTGGACCCGGCTCACATCAAGTCAATCGGCACACAATTCACAACAGCCAGAGGGAGACAAAGCATTGCATGCAGCAGTAAAACACTTCCTGCCGCGTCACTTTTTTGGCCAAAGCTGGACGCAGCGGGACTAGTTAAAAAAATGTGCTTGCACTTTCTTGCCCAAAGCACGCAGCATTGGAGGCCAACAGGGCAGAGGCCTCAAAGCTAAGCACTCTCAACAGCAAGCCCCAAAAGAAAACAGGAAAGCCCTGGCCTCTCGTGACAGCACGAAGTAGTTGAGAATGCCTCGAATGCACTCGAAGTTGAATATAACCAAACAGCACTTGGTCGCTTGGTGACATGAGTTGAGAATGCCTCGAATGCACTCGAAGTTGAATATTAACCGGCACTTGGTCGCTTGGTGACATAAAAGCCCTGAGTCAAATTAAAGGAACTTGCATCCCCGAGTTGCCGAGTGAACTGCAATGATAGTGGCTTGAGGGAACACAAGTACAGTAAGGGTTGCTTTCAATGGACGGAACTGAGTTGGGGCAGTATGGGGCAATCTAGTCCACCAAAGGCTTGCGAATACCTCGCAACGTGCCGAAACGAGCAGCAAGGTCGGGTCAGGTGGAAGCTAGCCATCGGCGGCATGAGATTGTGGGAGTTCTATGGGCCATCTGCCAACTTCATTGTTTCTCCAGTGGTGATTTCACCTTACGAAACATCTCACCCCATTCTTTGGCTCTCTTACTTATCTTAACTTGCAAGATTTCCTACGAGGGGGTTGTCCTGGGAGGAAGGCCAATATTTAGCACAACCTTCAACCTCCAAAACCTGTTCCGGGGGCACATCCGCAGTCTGCTCTGAACACATCACAAAGGAAGCATGCGTCATGCAGCATGCGCGTGAAATACTCCAAGGCACTAAAGCCACCATCCTCATCAGGGTATGATCCAAAGATCTTCCCTGCAGTGTATGGCACCTCAACTTGGCATGTCGGAGTGGAGTCGATTCGTGACAGCCTACCCGGCCTTCCGGTACAAGTATGCCAGTGTAACAAAGGATTGACATGGGTTGAGCCGAGAACACACCCCTACCAGCCACTGGTTGAGCCAGAAAGAAGCGCCTATCGAAGCCTTGACGAAGCCCTACCGTCTCCGCTTCCGGTCTTAAGAACCCAACCCACATGTTTAGCTAATGCGCTGCTCCAGCTCCCACACACGGAAAGATGATGGAAAAAAACCGTCTTGCCTGGCAGTTGAAAACTAAAACACGCGGCACTTTCCAGGATTGCTCCCACCTGCACAAGTCCAGCACAAAAAAGCACGTTAAAAGAGTGCATGAAGTACACCTGACTGACACCGTCCCAGCGCAGGCCTTGCGCCAGGCCAATTCGCAGGCAAGTCTCCTGAATCCCAGCGATCCATGATGCCTGGATACGGCGAGATCTCTGGATTGTAAAGAAATAAATCAGTTTGAGCCATCCACGAAGACCAAAATGAACGGATCATCCATGCCAGAAATTCCATGTCTGGACCAGCGATTATGTTGTTTCTATCCCTGGAGCGCTGGCATGCTTTGGGTAACAAAGAGTTGGAAGATTGATTAAATTGGATTCCACCTTTGGGCCAAGATTCAGTCAATCCTTCGATGATCACGCCTCTGGAGCATGCAAGTCTGGATGGAAAAAAGGTGAACAAAAACAGCATCTGAACATGGAAAGCATCGTCGCACGTCACAAGTATATGTCATGCCGGGGTCAGCCCATGTCATGCCAGTGGGGGAAAGCGAATGAAATGCTCCGTGTGACGAAAAAGCAGCACCGTGACACCTGAAGACACCGGTGAAATATTGACTAGCATGCATCGCTACTAGGGGCTCCTGGCATCGCTACTAGGAGCATTCTTACTACGTACTAGTAACAAGAAGCTACTAGGGGCTCCTGGCCTTACTACTAGGAGCAAGGACGCTACTAGGGGCTCCTGGCATCGCTACTAGTAGCTTCTTGTTAGTAATGTAATATATATATATATATTTATATAATGCCCTTGTTACTAGTGGCGATGGCCTCCAGCCTAATAGCTTCTTGCTACTATGCGAAGGCTTTTTGGCAAGCCACACAATGTCCATTCCAACGCACTCGTACAGGGCGAACTGTGATGCAATTTTCTCCCTGCTGTGCTTGTAGCCAATGTTTCGCACCTCGGCCATCCGGACACACCGGAGTGCCATCCGGCCATCGTTCAACACGAAGAGACGTTTTGCAGCTGCAGCGCATCAAATACGAAGGCGTCGCACTGTAGCCAATAGGGCTGAACCTCGCAAAGGGGCCATAGCAATGGCCTCCAACCTATTAGCGATGGCCTCCAATTGAACCCCGCAAAGCGACCACTCTGGCAATCAACCACTCTGGCCCTGTTAAACCGACTCTTTCCCTGAACTCTTTCCTCATCACCACCTAGTCATCGTGCAGGGACAGTCACAGTCAACCAAACAGCGCCAGGACATAGTGGCATAGTGGTCAATATATGTTAATGTGTCCGGTCAGTCTTTGGATGGTCACAAAACTAGACAATTGTGGCCTCAGCTTCACTTGGAAGTTCAGCGAATGGTGACGTGCTTCCTGCAGCAGCACACTTGCCGGGCATATGCTTCTGTGCAGCAATGACACCTGTCTGTAGTAGTCTGTGGATGTCTATATATATATATTATATAGCGCACAAAACCACACTTGAATTGGTCGTTTGCGGTGTGACGTTGCCTTCGGCACATGGACCGCACGGCAACGAAGGCCAAAATGGTGCCCATTCCACGAAGTCCTGTCACATGCGGTGCGCACTTTCGTGAGACCAACAAAGGCGATATCATCTGGACTCCGACCCCTAAGCGATGTGCAACGTCTACTCTACCCTACCCAATAAACATCTTGACTTCCAGCAGGGTACAGGCATTCAAAGGAATCCCTGTAAAAATCAACTCCACACATGTTTTTGGAATTGTCTTGGTACGCCTTATGGGGTCTGAAAGCATGCCCCGAGGCACAAGTTGCCACATGGAACCAGCACCATAATACTTGGGAAGTTGCATTTTGGATGAGTTTGGCATGCTATGATACAGCATCCGGAATGTCGCCGGGTGGCGCAACAGTCCCATGTTTCAAACGGGCGACTGCCGGGCTGTGCGACGCTTCTTGCGCCGCCGCCGCCGCCTCCGAGGCTTCTGACTTCGGCGTCATGAAGCCCTCTGTGCGTTCAGAAGCCCGGCCTGGCCAAGGGAGACCGTTCTTGAAACTAATGCACAAAATGCCAGGACAGAGCTTGGACTAAATGTATAGTTACATACCGGTAGTTGCTTTTGCTTGCAACTTTCGTCCTCATGCATGTTCAAGCATGTCTTGGAGCCTTGGAAGGTGAATTCAAGAAGGCCAAGTTAACAGGACAACCAAACAGCGAGCCACTCACTAGATCGATGCCAATCCCGCCGCGCAAACCATAAAAACAGTTCGTCACACACAATGCGAACTCCATCAATTTCAATGTCCAGGACCCGGATGCCTCCGGATGCCTCCGGATGCCTCCGGCGTTGCTATAAACAGACCATGGAAAAACCATGGAGCTCCATGGAGCCATATTCTGTTACTCCCACACGCCGCACGCCGCCAAGGCCTTTCCGTCGCGGTGAGGAATGAGAAGCGGAGTCCTGGAAGTCAGAATGCACCCCTGGCGGGGACCCACACAGAACGAAGTGTTTTTTCACATCCGGGGGGGGACCACCAGGACACATCCGCGACTCCTTGAAGCTCTTTGGCTTAGCTTTTCCGTAGACTTGCATTCCATCCTTATATAATCCAAAGCTTTCCAAGCATCACAAACTATGACTTGAGGCTGGACAGTGCACAGTTTCAGAGCGACGCCCTCAAAGCCGCTGCACTCAGCTGAGGGGCGATGAAAATGGAGATCCCACGCCACCAGTGCAGGAGGCGGTGAAGGCCCCAAATGGCCAGCACCTCCCAGCAGGAAATTGGTCGAATCCGGCGAAATCCATCAAATCCGGGCAACTCTGTGGAACTCTGCAACACCCAGAGGCTCTTCCGAGTCTTTTCTTTTCAGGGGTCACGGATGTAGTTTAGTCTGCTTTCTCGGTGGTGCGGGAGTTGGTGAGAAGAAATCATGGTTGGAGGAATCCAAAAATGACGCCCACCTAGGGTCTCAAACCCAACCTGTGGTCCTTCTTTTGGATGATGTTTGTTTCGATCATTCACACCCCAACGAACCGTATTTTTCCTTTTTTTGTGTGGGAAGTGGAAGCGCAAATAGACACCAAGCATCACAGAGCTCAGCCCGAAGGAGGTTCAAAGAGGTTGACAATGCTGTTGGGTCGAGCACGTTCCTCGACGTGTCGTCTCAAACGTCTGAATCGAGCAACGGAGGCTGTGATTCTCCATCCGGCCAAGGCGAAGCATCCCGCCAGCAGCAGCAGCATATCTCGACATGTCGAAGTCGCCACTGTCTTTGGTCACTGGCTAAGCGTAAAGGCGACCCACTGTGATTTCGTATCGACAACAATTACCAGTGCGGCTGGATGCGGCTGGGCTAACAAAAGAACGAAGCTTGAAAATTTGGCTGACTATGAACCTGATTGAACATGTCACTAAACTGATTCCGGCATACAACGGGCTCAAAGCTGGTCGCTTGTACGTTGTATGTTTGTCAATGTGCACAACAAATCCTGGGGCGGTGAAGCCGAATCCTCTATGGCTACACTTTGAGAACTTTGCAAATCAGGGCCAATCAGGGCCGAGTTTAGTGCGCAGCTGCTTGACATGCTTGACGCATCTCCATGACGTGCATCTTGAGAGGAGGAGCCCAACAAAAAACGTAATTTGATGTTTTAAGCGCTTGATTCAGGACAAAGAGTGACACACTATCGCTACTAGGGTGGAGGCCATCGCTAGTAGGTTGGAGGCCATCTCTTCTAGGCTACTGAGGCCGCCGAGGCCGAAGAAAGACTTCCCCCACTTCCTGAGGGTTTGGCAGCCTTTGCAGCGGCTGCACCGTGAATCTGAGCTGCCTCACAAGGGGTCAAGTCCAGAGTTCAAAAGGAGAAGCCCAGGCCTTGCTTGTGTGCTTCATGCAGAATTTATGTATTGCATTGCATTGCTGAATGTTTCAATGAATGTGGTAAATACTTACTCTGACTCTTCAGTATGCCTGGCAAAGTTTGGCATTTCCCACTTGCATCGCTCACACCTGCGCAGCCTGTGCAGCAAGAGGCGCGGCGGGCCACATTGAAGCCTGAGAGATGAGTTCACAACTTCCACTCCCTGATTCCCTAATTTCTGGCTTAGCCTCCGGCGGCTGCAGGACAGGTTAAGCTCGGCATCCGAAAGCAAAACACCCCAACACAGCTAGCACTTTGCGAATAAGTCTTTGGGAGCTTTTGTTGTGCTTGGTCTGATCGCTTGTATGTCTAGCCCTGCTCGTCCATTGGTACTTCAGTTCTAGCTTTCCTCGTCCTTGGTGGAAACCTAGCAGGAAACAAAAAAAACGTGACCGTGAAGTTAGCTGTGGAAGCATCAGGCCTGTCATGGTCTGCCCTGCAAACAAAGCACCTAACAAACTGCAAGTGTCGAGATATGGACAAAAAGAATGCATCCGCCAAAAGCATCTGCCAATAGGCTATGAGTCCTCGCGTTCCTCCGTTCTCAAGGCAGCCATTTTGCATCATTTTGGGATTGAAACCCCGAGGCTCAACCCGTCTGCCTGCCCCCGTTCCCAAGCACACAGAACAGAAACATGTTCAAAAATGTGGCGCCCTTCCAATTCCAACAGTCACTGAGCTTCTTGATGCTCGTTCTTGGGATCGGGCAGCAAAATGATGTTTGATTTACATTCAGCGTGGTGAAACACTCTCCCAGCAAAAGTGCATGTGTATATGTATATATACATTATATCAAGATATATATATATATATAGCTACATATAGCGACATAGTTTCTACAGTGATGTACATATCATATCTGTGTATCTAAATATCCACAAGAGATTCATGCACGTCATACCAACGACATACTTAGGTTTTTGGACTACCCTCAATCTGCCTGCGGCGCTGTGACGAGATCGTGCCGATTGGGGCAGCTGTCGGACAGCAGGTTCCGTGCAAAAGCCATGTGACTGGGACAAATGTCTTCGTCGAGATTCTCTCGGCCCAAGACTCAGCGGCAAAGCCGCCGTCAGACCATGTCTTTCGCCAAGGTCAAGCCCGTCTTCTCGCCAAACGAGCGAGTGCTTGGCCGATGCTGCCGATCAAATTCCGAAAAGGTTTCCACACCCAGATGACCGGTACCTTGGTCCCAACAAAGCACAAAAGAAACTTAACGTTTCTTACCGTGACTCCTTACCCCTTCAGATTTGAGTTTTAGACTTCTGCTTGGATCTACGCACCTGCACATCCAATCATCAAATGAGGCCACTCGCACAGTTAGTCACAAGGTTTGCAGTTAGTCATAATCCACAGTGAAATGGATAAGGGAAACCCACAGCGGCTGAGTCAGCAACAGTACTTGAAGTGTTGGCAAAATTGTTCAAACTCTCTCGCGACGGTGCAGCTGCAGAAAGGGCAGTGGGAAGTGTTTTGGGGAGTATCATGGAAACCACCATGGAAGCAAAAAAGGAAAAGTCGAGTCACAGCGTGTGAGAAAATCAGCAGGTACATGGCTCCTAGAAACGGAGGGGGGGCACACACACACATACACTTGGATGGTTGCTCGCAAGAGCTAGGATCACAATGAAGTCCCACTTTAGCGATTACACGACCAGCTGCATTGTAGAATTGACTTGGTTCAACTGCAAGAAGTGCTGGGTCCGAAGATTTGAATGTTTGAACATGGGTGAAACTTGACGAGGCAATTAAAATTGGCAGGTACGCTGGTATGATCAGTCCCAGTATCACCAGCAAATCGAGAGTGTCTTCGTTGGTGGCAGACTCTCGATCCTGCTGGCACCCCCTGCCTCTTTTTTACTCGCGCTGTTTTAATTTTGGTTTGGTTCCTAGTAGCAAGGCCAGAAGCTACTAGTAGCATGCAGCCTTCTAGTGAAGTCTACGGCAGACTTACCAGGCACAAACCTTGGAAACAGGCGTTAACACACACACTGTGCCGCAATCGGCGCTCTGTACCCCTTGCGTGAAACGGTATTTTGCGCAACAGCTTTGTACACATAGCGCCGATATTGGCGCTCCGGAGGATTACTAGCCACCTAAAGAGCCTTAGAAAGACAGACAAAGAAAACAAAACAAAAGCACACGAAGAGGGCAAGAGACAAAGATAGGTATAGTGACGAGGCCCACTTAGTTAAATGAAAGTAGTTAGCGAGCGGGACTTTTGTCTTAAACCGACCCGGTAGCTAGAGGTAGGACAGGAGAAACAGAAGGAAAGGCACCAACACACAAGTGTGTTGAGTGCGATTTCCTTCTGTTACCTTAAATAGCGGGTGGGACAGCAACAGGGGCCAGGGAGGCAGGGGGGAGGGTGTGACGAAGGCATTGCCATCATTGGCATTCAAGTAAAGCCGATTTGGGCCGGCGCACCCTTGTCTGAAAGGCACCTGAAACAAACCTAAAGAAAGGCCTCAAGAAGCGAAAAGCAACAGAAAGAGAGAAAGAACCCAAGAGCACGAAAAGCACATGCAACTGAAAAGCAGCCTGTGGTTGCCTAGCCGTGGAAACTGTACCGGTGAATACTTAGACGCATGTGCTTGGCGATTACATGACCAGCTGCATTGTAGACCTTGACTTGGTTCAACTGCAAGAAGTGCTGGGTCCGAAGATTTGAATGTTTGAGCATGGGTGAAACTTGACGAGGCAATTAAAATTGGCAGGTACGCTGGGATGATCAGTCCCAGTATCACCAGCAAATCGAGAGCGTCTTCGTTGGTGGCAGACTCTCGTTCCTGCTGCCACCCCCTGCCTCTTTTTTACTCGCGCTGTTTTAATTTTGGTTTGGTTCCTAGTAGCAAGGCCAGAAGCTACTAGTAGCATCCAGCCTTCTAGTGAAATCTACGGCAGACTTACCAGGCACAAACCTTGGAAACAGGTGTTAAAACACACACACAAGAAAAGAAGAACTCGGAGAATACTGAGGTGTCTGAAAAATCACTTGGGAGCCCCGGAGCCTTTCAAAGAATGCAGAAAGACAAAGGACATATATAAAATATACTTTATATAATATAGACCAAAAAGATCCAAAAAGATCCAAAAAGTAATCTGACGGCTTCCTAGCTGCGGTTTTGCCGACTGCTCCTGCGCTTGCTCGGCGAGCAACCTTTCCTGCGATTGGATGGTGCATCGTGACGCTACGCTCTTGAGCTCAGGAAGGGGGGGACACGTTCCAAGCGATTGAAGTGGCACCAAAAGATTCAACTCGCTTGCCTGTGTCCGCTGTGCTTTCGGAGAACAATGATAACCTTGCTGTTGAGCCTTGGCCTTGTTCCATTAGTGCATCAGTCGTGAGCATAGTGCTTGGTCTGGCACAGGTTCCACACCACCAGGCCCATCCCTCCTGATCCGTCTGCGGTGCCCTCCACAACATCTGCATGTATGCGGGATCTTCACCATTCATCAACTCAGAGGCAAAAATGCATGGAAAAAACACGAACTGATGGATTGCAAGCAAAGCCGCTAGACACTGCCAAGATGCTGTCACTCTGAAATACTTCTAGAAAGTGATAGAAGGGGTTTCGCCTGACCCTCTACATTCCCCCTCTACCAGGTTCAAGAATGCCCTGCAATGCTTGATCCAGGAAGTGCACCCAGCATCAAAGTGAATAGAAGCATAGCCCAGCCTTCTTCTTTGCGTCAAGGCGTTCCTTGGCCTTGTTCTTCAAGTCCACAACACGCTTCACAACATACCTAAGACACTTTTTGGTGAGTGTCGCAGCACTCCGATACCAAGTCTACAAATCCGGGGCCCAGGGTTGGACCCGGCTGGATGTTGCATTAAGTAGTTACTCTTTGAGCGTGCATTATGCAATTATGCGGCCAGGGATCTTATCTAAACAAATCCACGCCGTAAAAAAGAAAAAATATGCGACCAAATGCATGGAAGCGAAATGAAGCGTTTATTGTAGCAGTGTGGCCAAGTGTGATCAGAAGATTGAAACAGAATCAAAGTTAAATCCATGCAGAAAGTCCAGCAAGTATTTCACTGTCCTTTCCTCGCCTTTCCTGCTTGCTCAAGCTGTCACAAATATCAAGACTCTTTGGCATAGTGACTTAGTGATAACATGTGATGACAGTGGGATCTGCTCATGGCCCCATCAAGGTGTTTACCGTGCAGACGTCAAGACCTTCCCAAGCAAGAATGCAAACATCCCTGCACGATACGACCTGCGAGGAATGTCCCTATACGACCTGCGTGTAGGGCAGACCTAAGTGGTCCTTTCGTGCCCATGGCTGCTGCCAAGGCTCAGCCTCCAGGCTGGTACAACGATGGCTATTGCACCTGAGGGTCCACTGCTTCGAAAGAATTTCGTTTGTCGCTCTGAACGAAGTGCCCCCAAGATCCCCAAAGGCCAAAAGGACAAGTGACCAGCAGTAAATATCAGCTTCATCCTTTCTGGATCCGAAGTCTCCTAACGTCCACAGCAGTTTCCAGGCATCCATGCACTTCAGGCAAAGGTAAGAAAAACCCTCACTTAAGATCAAACATAGATATACAGTAGCCATCACTTTTCAGCACAAACATGCACAGACCTACCAAAGAGTGAACTGCGGCAAACTATCGTAAATTAAGGTCTAAAAGCAGGAAACCTTTCTATATATATATATTTACCTGTACCTGCACCTCAGGCAACTTGCGCGAAGCACAGAAATTGCAAACTCCTCTGCGAGCTCTGTTAGGCCGCTCTCGAAGCACATCTCCCACGAAAGTCCTCTTCGGCAAACCATGGATCAATATGGATCCATGGCGTGCAGAAGTTGATCATGGCATGCATCGGGTGTGCAACAATCATGCGGAAACGGATAATGAATTATATACAACGATTGCATCACAAAAGCACACGGCCGTCCAATCAGAACGGAGAAGACGTTGATCATGCTCTGAAGAATTCTAGGGGACCTGCAGGCATACACGCGTGAAGGTTGCTGCATGGGGCACATCACATTGGCTCGAGAATTGTCGAAAGGTGCATCACTGGAACCCGGAACTCAACCAAGGCTTGCTAGGTAGAAAGAGGTTCAACGCCTTGTCCAGAAAGTAGTGCTCACGTTACTGTGACCATGTTAGCAGTTTGCTCAGATCCAGACCCCAGATTGAAGAAAGGAACTGAAGCAGAATCAAACAAGCAAAAAAGCACGGATGGCATCAAAATGTGGCGACCGTCCAAACCTGAGCTGAAGCTCCCTGACCCAAAAAGTCCGACGACGAAATGGTGTGGGTATGACATGGTATTGGATGGTTGTAACAGTTCAGCCGTTGATTCACAGGCAGGTGGGGGTGACTTGGCCCCACCAACATCCGGCATGAGCAAAATCCAAGCTACGAAGCTCCCATATCTTGGATGAAGTCCAACAATCTTATCACCATTAAACTGCCTCGGCTGATCAGCATCCAATGTAAGGTTTGAAATCAAGCCATGGAGAAACATGGCATGCAGCGCAAAAAAGCTCCAATTCTGCCTCTCAGATACATATTGACAGGACCAAGGCAGAAACCAAATGCCGCTCGTTCGGGTAGAGCTCGGTATCTAAGCACATGCTTTGTTTCCAAAACTTCAACAATACCCTCGCCTGCCTCTTTTGTGGAAGCTTTGAGTCTGTGAGCAAACGCCACAGAACGCAGGCAGTTCAGTGTTGCTTAACGATGTTCTGCGCGCACTCTCTTTGTAAACACTGTTTCTCATGGTGGTGAGCACTGGTGCGCACCGTCGTGCGCAAGAGGAGAAGCAATATGCCGCAATACTAGCAAGGCCAGCAGCGGAAGCAGCAGGAACGCTTGCACATGTTACGAGATGCTAGTGGCACGGAGGGCACACCCTTCCTGAAGGCTGCAAGTAGCCAAATGGTGCACCAGATTGCACCAGGACACACCAGTTACTGCTACTCGGGGCCCAAGGGCTTGCTCCTCTCAGTCTCTATCTCTCCTCTCTCTCTCTCATTTGATATCCAAATCTTGAGGAAACCAAGGCAGCTCCCTCCGGCACAAACATCAACATCCATCAACATCCAACCACGGCAACTGCCAACTCTCGTGGGCAAGCCCAAAAGCAGTAAAGGTGGAGAATCGTGACATGGTTTTGCATAGTGTGTGATGGTGTGTTATCATCATCGTGGCGCTGCCAGGGGGCGCAAGATCTTCTCGAAGGCTTCCGTCTCACGAACAAAGCCGCCGACGCTCCAAAGCGTACACCAGGCAAAGATCATCCCCATGATGTTTTGAAACTTCTCCAACCTCAAGAGCTCACCAAGAAGAAACACTTCTCCTGCACCGACTCTCTCTTTTAAAACGACTCTCTCTCTCTCTCTCTTTCTGTCTGGTCGGGTCGGGTCCCGGTCCGGTCCGGTCCGTTCGGTCTCTGCCTATCTGTCTAGCTAGCAGCATTTATCTCCCTCTGAGACAACGAGCCACACTAACTAGCGACAGTCTGTTCTTCAAATTCTGCTCGCCCTCTGTGCAAAGCAACCTTCTAAACATGCCGTTCACTACTGTAAGTTGTGGAACCTTGTTGAAGGAGTCTAGCTGAGTTTAGCTATGATTGACCTACCGACTCAAAGGTGCCAAGTAATTAAGTTTGGGGTGTACTTTCTCCAAGATGCAGCCATTGCCCCAAAGCTGGGAGTTCTGGAATACACGACATCCTCAACGTCAGGAAAGGAGCTTCTGCTATCTTCTGCTTGCTTGGTGGAATGCGTGAGGTAGACGTGATAGGACTTGACCCAATGACAAAATAACACGAAAACCCTCATGACTCATGACTCACTACAGGCCTTCAAGCCAGTGAAAATGAAAAGTCAACATCTTTACAAAGATCTACAAATGCCTACGACTCTCCACTTAATTGGACCAGGCACAGCACTGAAACCACCAAGGAAATGCATCCAACAATGAAGAGCCTCGGCAAACATCTCTCAACTCAGCCCCAGGATAACTTGAGGTCCAGAGCTCAGGTTCCGCAAGCGCTCCACGTCTACTCGACACTTAGTGTCAGGTTCTCCGGATCTGGTGTATACCGCACGCACCAAATCATGTTGAGATCATGGCGGCGACTTCAGCTTCAATAATATAGTTACCTGCAATGTGTTGTCCTTTTCTCCCAAAAAGATCCTTCAACTCCTGAACACGACTTCCTGTAGCATGGCCACTCAGGGGCACTGAGCCTGAACATCCGTGGGGCTCAGGAGGCAACAAAGCATTCACAAACCACCAACATAAGGTCTTGTTGCCTTTGTTTGAGGTAGATGGAAAACTTTAGGATAACTTAGTGTGCATATTGAGCACCAATCTGCTGAAAAGTACCCCTTCTCAAGAAGCCCTCCAAGTTAAGGTAAGAATTTGAGTGAGCTCTAAGACTTAGCTGTAGTTCCCGTCCACCGTTGCGGATACAGGCTAAAGTCATTCTTCGCCTCTCTCTACCCAGCGGCAAGAAAAGGGCAGTCGAACCAACAGGAATGTAGGGCTCCTGGTGGCCTTCCTGAAATGGGGGGAACGGCGCGGATAGGTTCGATGGAAGATCTTCAACCGGCATATTACTGATAGAACGAAGGAAACGAAGTACTGGCCCCTTCTTATGCCATTCATTGCCATTCTATCATGTGAGTACTTTCGCCGCACCGGAGAACGCCACCTAGCAATGCACAGGGAAAAACCGGGGGAACGATGGGGCTCAGGGCGACATGCCCCAGCGACGGGCTTCACGGCAGCTGTGTGAACATCTCTATACTGTACAAACTCGCTCCCCCATTTTGGAAGGTGATTACAGTAATTGTATAGATGTTTTAGTTATTTATAACTATGTTTTTTTTTTGGATGCATTATAGATTAAAGAATAATATATGGATATACAGTACAATAGTTGATACGAACAGTTTGCAATGCAAGCCACAAACTCCACCAAGCCACTGAATTTGGCATGTGGCCTGAGAGCACCCTCCCAACCCATTCACTCACATTTCTCCCACACCTGAACGCTTCTTCCCTACAGGCAGAGTTCATTATTAGCTACTCCGGAGTTGTGGGCGCCCATCGAAGTGTGGCTAGAAAATACTTGCAGACTCGCTCATCACCAACAAGCGGTTTGCTCAAGAACTTGTTAAGCCCTTAAGAGCAAAAGGAACACACAAACAACCAAGGAGGCAGAAGGACGCCTGTAAAGCCGTAGCGGAAGACCTGCACCATGAGGAAGGAGCTTGCCAAACTGACGATGTCATTCTCAGCCTGCGCGGCATGTGGGAAAGCATTTATGCATATTTATGCGCAAAGGAGGTGTTCCTCAACACGTCCTCCAGCTATGATCCTCACAGTAACCTCTCATGAGCTAATCTAGAGGAGACACAAAGGCACGATGCTATCGCGTATCGCTGTGCTAACCTGGCTAAACCTCACAAAATTTGTCCGTGTCCAACGTGTGAGACATGCTGCCTCTTTGATTTCCTCGTTGAGCAGGACCTGAACCAGCACTGCTGTCAACAAACGAACGTTTGCACACACCTGGCACGTGGGGGAATCCCACAAGGTTCTTTCGCACAATAGGTTCTCGTTACAAACACACGTTTTCTCTGCGAGCCCCACAGTAGTTTGCACTTGAATGAATAAGATTGTCACTAGGTCTTTCCCAGCCTTTACTATTTAGGTCTTTCCCAGACCATTTCTCACTGTGCTGCTTTGGCCACTGCAACAAGTAGATAATATGGTGATCTGGCGGCTACTGCATCTATGCTCGCTTTGTGGTGCTCGTGAGCGTGCTGATTGGTCCATGTTAACAGCTGATAGCAATTGTATATAACAGTATAGCGCACGCAGCAAAAACTCACCATTTTACAACCAGGGGTTGATCATTGACAACCATTTTGTGGTCTCCAGAGTCTCCAGCTGGGAAAAGTGCCAACAAAACATGTTGCCCACGCGAAAGCTGAGGTCATGGCAACACGCTCATCAGTCTCGTCGGTGATGGTGTACAGCCTGAGTCACATTGCAGTTAGTCATCCTTTTCTCTTATGCATGTTCTGTGCAAGGTTGCTGCTACCTTTGCCAGTCTTCCCCCAAAAAAAAACGACTCACGTCTTGCTCTATAGATCTGGCCGAAATAGATCCATCAGCCGGAAGAGGATGCCCACACTGACCTGGAAGCGTTGTGGCATCAATCAGCAATTATATGCGATTTGGCTAGCTGTCATGTCTAAAGCAGAAACGGAACAGTATTTGCTCCTACATAGTCATCCACCACAACAATGCAAAAAGAGTTCGCTTATTCCTGGTTCACCAGATTCTTGAATCATCTGCTACTAAACATGCGCCTGGTTGATGATTACTGCAATGAAGGCTGTGGTCCTGAAGGCTTGCATATGCAATGTGAAGGGCGTGCAAACCATCACCGACTACATGACCGCATGCCAGTCTTGTCTGGATATGCTGGGATTGTCCAACATGCTGTAAGCATGAAGGCCACTCCTGTTTCGTGAAGAACTCAAATGCTGGGGTACGGAAGGACCCTTGGTCATGAGCTGCCTCTAGTAGTCCAGATCTCGCAACGGCGCTCGAGCGTCGGGTCGGCCAGCTTGTGCAGCCAAGGGTCGGCCCCTCCACAAACCAATCCATATGTTGCAAGGCACCACCAGCTTCAATTGCTGCGAAGCCACAACTAAGATGCATTCAGTCAAAGCAAACAATAAGTTTGTTCCCTCTGCATCTCGTGTGCTCTCACCGGGACTCTCACGCTCTTCCGTGACTTGCGTTTAGGCAAGTCGTGTGGCCTCTTAGCAGTCGCGCTGCATGATTACAGTTTGATAAACAATTACTGTCAGATACTCTTTGAGATCATTGTCAATCTCGCGAAATGGAGCTGCAGAAAATGATGCAGCACCACTAAGCTGCTACCAAGCAGCAAGTGTGCCAAAAGCTGTGTCCATGCGCTCAAATTCATCGTCGTGGTTTCCAGGTTCAGCTTCCTGGAAAAAAGGACAAAGCTTCTCAGGCAAATGGCGTCAGGATGCATCAAGCATTCTTGGATTTGTTGATTCTCTAGTGACATCTAGTGACTAGTGTCTGCAGGTCCTCTAGTCACTAGTCGAACTCAGCCGCTGTCATGAACCATTCAAATTGACTGTTTAGTGAAGCTCTGCCGCTGGTCCATTTCTCGATGTCGGTTCAGTGATTCAGAAATGAAGTCCTCTTCTCCACAAAAACCTCCACACCTTCTATCCAGGCGATACTCCTAGCAAGGCCCACTGGGACTGCGGCGGCCCACTGTTCGGGTGGGTCAGGCGGACGCTACGAACGGAGCAAAGGGCATCGCTACGAACGGAACAAGAACGCTACCAACGGGGCTCCTGGCCTTACTACTAGGAGCAAGGACGCTACTAGGAGCAAAGTGCCTCCAGTGTCTTTGACATGTTTCTCAACCACTGTTGCATTGTCTGAAGGTGCGCTGGAAAGTGCGCTGGCCTGTGACCAGTTTTTGTTCGCACCTGCGCAGCTGAAATGAAATGAAAATAAAGTAGAAGCAAAGATCCACGTGCTGCAAACACTCTATATAGACCCATGTGAGGCATTGACCTTGTCCAAAATGTTCACTCAACATATTTTGACAGGCTTCAACGGCGTTCATGCTTCAACTGACTGCGCAAACAGGGTTCGCTTTGACAATCACCGAAAATACATGGCATCTCTAGCGCTTGGACTCTAGGATTCTCTAGGTATTCGTCCACCTTGCCTGCGATTCGTCCACCTCGTAGCCGTGGTCTGCACGGATGGCATCAGCGACCACCCACGTCTCTTCTGACAAGTCCGTTGGACAGCAGCAGTCACCTTACAGATGCTGTGTCACTCGGACTCGAGCAGCTTCACAAAAAGTATTCTCAAAACAGTCAAGACGGATCAAAACGGTGAACAATGACAACACGGTGCAACAATGACAAAAAGGCGAAAAGGATCGAAGAATGGATTCTGTCTCACCAATCAATTGGACCGGACCTGCCAAAGCTGAGCACACCACAGTAGGCGCCGGAAGCCAGTTTCGCTTCCTTGGCAGCAGAGGCGGTGATATGTTGCATATCGTAGAATGACAACAAGATGGTCACACTCTATGCTTCCACGGACTGGAGGCAACAAACATCGCTCTAGTTCGGTGCTTTTACTTCCATCTTTGCGACAGATCCAGTGACTAAGGCATGACAAGAATGCGAAACTTTAAAACCATGGACTGGCGTTTGTGGCGTCATTGGTGTGTGTGTGTGTGTCATTCAAGTACAAAGAATGCAGCGGCCATATTTTCGAGCCATTGTCATGCTGGCTGTGACCTCGCATTGCCTTGTGAGGGGTGACAAAGCAAGCCAGCAAGCGATCTGATGGCAGTGTTCAACAGCTGAGGACAAGAACGTAGAAAGAACTACCTGCTCACACCAGTCACATAGTCCACACATGCTTGCTTTCGAATACAGAACTTTACAAGGAAATGCAGCCAAATGTTTATGGGTCGCATTATTGCAAAAGAATGCAAAACATGACAATCTTCCAACCGTCTCGCTGCTAAAGTGTCGACGCATGCAAATTGTGCTGTCGCGCTGAGGATTGTGCATATAAGCAAAGGAAGGGTGTATGGGAATAGCTCTGATTGGTTTGCAAGTTTGTAAAATAAGTGGTTGCAACAGGTACAAACACTCTATTGCGGCAGCAGGACATTTCAACAAATGGGACGCCGAGACCAAGCAGTCAAATCCAAAACGAAGCACAGCCGGCTTTTGCCGAAGCTGTTCCTTTGTCCTGCTGGGCCGTGCTTTGCAACTACCCAGGACCCAGGACAAACAGGATCCAAATTATTCCTACTCTTTCTCAGCAGCCTGGAATGGAGCAAGTCAAACGCAGCGATTAGGGTCCCTACCGATCTCTGGTCCTACAAGCTTATCAGGGGCAATATATGACCATTTCATGAAATTTGTCCCTCTCCTCTCTCGTTTGGATGATTTGATGGAGGCTAGGCTAAGAATTAGGGGCGGTCATTAGGGGTGGTCCGTCCGATGTCGGTCTGATTTTCGATGGTCTTTGTTTAGGATTTTGCTGGCGTTAATAATCCGAAATCCCCGTGTCGCAGCGCTAGACGCATGAAAACACAGATGTTTCTCCAACTTTGCAAGGCAGGTCCTTGCCGCAAAGGCGCCACTTTTGTGCCACCTGGAAGACGCCCTCTCGATTTGTGAATGGCTTTCCTGAGCAAGTGCTCCATCTATGCTGAAGACGCAGTGACTGCTCACATTTACAAGATGTGATGCACTCCAGCAAGTTGTCGGCACAGGTCCCAAAACACTAGGGACCTTCTTTCCCGCAAGCTGAGTCAAAAAAGTCTAATCTGGGAGAACTTGACCAACCGTCCACCCGTTGAACCTTTCACGATCTTCACCCGTGGCATCTTGGCAAAAAGAGAGAGAGAGAGAGAATCTGTTTACGGCGCCCTTCAAAACCATAAGTATAGATGAATTGTTGGCCAAGAATCATCACCTCCAGGTCCTTGACCTGCACCAAACCAACGGCTCGAAATCCTTGCCTGACCCTTTCCCCGCTAAAAATCGAGCCAATGAAGGCGAAGCCAAGGAAAATGATGCCAACCTCAAAGTCATCACAACATAAACATACAGTACATCAGTGAAGGCCGCTCCACTATCCCAGCTTGCTCCTTCCAACAGTGCCACAAGTGCACGGTACAAACTCCACTGCTCCAAAGACTAAGACCCCACCCAGTTGCTCTATATAATTGAGCGAGGCACTGGCGCCCAGGAGCTGTCACCCGCCGAGAGTGCCGGCCAGCCTGCATGTGTTGACTCCAAAGAAGAGTTTTTTATTCAGGACTTAGTCGTCAAATGTCCGCAAAGCCTACATGGGCATTTTTAGACGGGTGGTCTCTTCATCTATATATTCATCTATTCTACACGTGTCGCCTGGGCCTGACGGTCTACCCATGGAAGATCATGGAAGGAAAGCCACAATCACACTCAATTCTGGTTTTACACTACTTTCGGTATCCATGGCAAAATTCAACCAACAGTACGTGCACCCATGCCCCCCAAAAAAAGAAAAAACGATACGCCACGTGCGGGTCAAGGTGGCCTTCTATCGTGAGGAGAACCCCCGGCACAGCCAGAATCAGAGAGAGAAGCAAGTGTATCAAGGGCTTCATCTTCAGCTTGCCAACCTCGCTTCCGTTGACAAAGAACAAACATGCGCGATTCGCAATCATCGCACGATATCACACGTGTTGGTGAACCTATCTAGGTATTGGGATCACTTTGGGCATTCTGATTCCAACATATTCCAACTGCACAGGTCATCGGCCGCTAGAAGCAATCCAAACATGCGGGCACTGTTTCAAATCTGAAAATGGATCGTTTCCTCCACAAAGCCAGCATCTAGTCCCAAACCCCTCCCTTCATCCCAAGTTGCACTCTGCGAGTCAGAAGCCCAGCGGATTTCGGATGCGAAAAAGTGGTTCAATATGTAGATTTCATCCTTGCCAATAGTTGAACCATCATACTCCACCTAAAGTGTGCATGCATCCAAGTGAGCAACCACAGGCCAGGCATGGGATCGTACATCAATGGCCCCGCCGGATCTTCCATCAAAAAAGCTACTTTCTACAAGCCTTAACATCTCCATTGATCTGTTGCTTTGCGTGCAGGAAGGCCCAACCCTGCTAGGAAGCTCTCTGGCCATTACCCATGATATTGCTGCCAAACCACTGAGTTGTCGGCCAAGACTTTGATCGGAGGCATGAGTAGTCCAGTCAAAGGGTCCTTCGCTGAGTAGCCGTCCTGGTGCAGCTGGATGCCCCTTGTTATCTCTTCATGCTGCTCCTGGCACCACGCTCCGGCTAGCACAGCGCGCGCTCGTCATGTCTCGCCGCTCTGATATCGACTTGACAGGGTACAAAGCAAGCTAATTCGACGCTACAGTGACACACCAAACTATTGGGCGGTCCTTGGTTCGGAGGTTGAAGAAAATCAATGCCACGGTTCCAAGCAAACCTGCTAAGCCTGGTAGGATCGAAATCGATCCTCTGATGATCCACTGGACTTCTTGATTCTGGCTTGGTAGGTCCGGATTGTACTGGAAGTAGCCTTTGATTGATACTGCTCCGGCAGCCGCAGGACCGTGCAAGACTCTGACTCAAATACACTTCATTGTTACCAATAATACTTGAGCTGTTCATGTTCTTGTGATGCGACAAGTTGACTTACTGGTGATTAAGTTATATACATAACTATATATACAATTACAGTATATATTCAAACATTTGTACAATGCATAATAGAGCTATTGTTGTGCACGTTTTGAAGATCTCTTCCCCTACTGATCTCAGCGAGTGGAGGCCAGACCGACCAACACAATCGTCAAACCATGCCGAATTCTGTGCTTTGGAAGGTTTGTGATGCTTGATGGTATAGATCCATTCTGTTGATTCTTTCAGTTTGCACCTTCTTTCTGAATTAGCACCACGTCACTCACGAAGCTATATCATGTTGGATCCTGATTAGTAAATGGTACCTCTATAATGCTAAATTTTTCCAAATTGAATTCAGACCCCCCTGTTTGAAAAATGGTACCTCTATATAATGCTAATTTTTTTTGGGCCCTAAATTTTTAAATTGGAAAACAAATTAATACGGGTTTGAAATCCTTCTGAGGCCAATGATTATGATTCATTAAATTAGCTGATATAGCTTTCTCTAGGTTTCTTCAACACTGACAGCTGACCAAAACCACCAATTCCCCAATTAAACCCTTTATAAAACATTGCTCCTAAACAAATTTTCAAGGTAGTAGGCCAGGAAGGCACCTGATCCTCAATAATAAATTTGTTTTTGGGACCTCTATTGTGAAAAGTTTT